AGACCCCGCCCACAAACGTGCGTTCTCCCAATGTCAGGGTCTAGACCGCCCACAAACGTGCGTTCCTCCCAATGTCAGGGTCTAGACGCCGCCCACAAAAATGCGTCCTCCCCAATGTCAGGGTCTAGACGCCGCCCACAAACATGCGTCCTCCCGGGGTCAGGGTCTAGACGCCGCCCACAAACATGCGTCCTCCCAATGTCAGGGTCTAGACGCCGCCCACAAACGTGCGTCCTCCCAATGTCAGGGCCTAGACTCCGCCCACAAACGTGCGTCCTCCCAGGGTCAGGGTCTAGACTCCGCCCACAAACGTGCGTCCTCCCAATGTCAGGGTCTAGACGCCGCCCACAAACGTGCGTTCTCCCAATGTCAGGGTCTAGATGCCGCCCACAAACGTGCGTTCTCCCAATGTCAGGGTCTAGATGCCGCCCACAAACGTGCGTCCTCCCAATGTCAGGGTCTAGACGCCGCCCACAAAAGTGCGTCCTCCCAATGTCAGGGTCTAGACGCCGCCCACAAACATGCGTCCTCCTGGGGTCAGGGTCTAGACGCCGCCCACAAACATGCGTCCTCCCAATGTCAGGGTCTAGACGCCGCCCACAAACATGCGTCCTCCCGGGGTTCAGGGCCTAGAACCCGCCCACAAACGTGCGTCCTCCCGGGGTCAGGGCCTAGACTCCGCCCACAAACGTACATCCTCCCGGTGTCAGGGCCTAGACTCCGCCCACAAACATGCGTCCTCCCGGGGTCAGGGCCTAGACTCCGCCCACAAACATGCGTCCTCCCGGGTCAGGGCCTAGACTCCGCCCACAAACATGCGTCCTCCCGGGGTCAGGGCCTAGACTCCCCACAAACATGCGTCCTCCCGGGGTCAGGGCCTAGACTCCGCCCACAAACATGCGTCCCCCCGGGGTCAGGGCCTAGACTCCGCCCACAAACGTGCGTCCTCCCAATGTTAGGGTCCACCGCCCACAAACGTGCGTCCTCCCAATGTCAGGGCCTAGACTCCGCCCACAAACGTGCGTCCTCCCGGTGTCAGGGCCTAGACCCCGCCCACAAACGTGCGTCCTCCCGGTCAGGGTCAGGCCCACAAACGTGCCTAGACCCCGCCCACAAACGTGCGTCCTCCCGGGGTCAGGGCCTAGACCCCGCCCACAAACGTGCGTCCTCCCGGGGTCAGGGCCTAGACCCCGCCCACAAACGTGCGTCCCGGGGTCAGGGCCTAGACCCCGCCCACAAACGTGCGTCCTCCCGGGGTCAGGGCCTAGACCCCGCCCACAAACGTGCGTCTCCCCAATGTCAGGGTCTAGATGCCGCCCACAAACGTGCGTCCTCCCAATGTCAGGGTCTAGACGCCGCCCACAAAAATGCGTCCTCCCAATGTCAGGGTCTAGACGCCGCCCACAAACATGCGTCCTCCCGGGGTCAGGGTCTAGACGCCGCCCACAAACATGCGTCCTCCCAATGTCAGGGTCTAGACGCCGCCCACAAACATGCGTCCTCCCAATGTCAGGGCCTAGACTCCGCCCACAAACGTGCGTCCTCCCAGGGTCAGGGTCTAGACTCCGCCCACAAACGTGCGTCCTCCCAATGTCAGGGTCTAGACGCCGCCCACAAACGTGCGTTCTCCCAATGTCAGGGTCTAGATGCCGCCCACAAACGTGCGTCCTCCCAATGTCAGGGTCTAGACGCCGCCCACAAAAGTGCGTCCTCCCAATGTCAGGGTCTAGACGCCGCCCACAAACATGCGTCCTCCTGGGGTCAGGGTCTAGACGCCGCCCACAAACATGCGTCCTCCCAATGTCAGGGTCTAGACGCCGCCCACAAACGTGCGTCCTCCCGGGGTTCAGGGCCTAGAACCCGCCCACAAACGTGCGTCCTCCCGGGGTCAGGGCCTAGACTCCGCCCACAAACGTACATCCTCCCGGTGTCAGGGCCTAGACTCCGCCCACAAACATGCGTCCTCCCGGTGTCAGGGCCTAGACTCCGCCCACAAACATGCGTCCTCCCGGGGTCAGGGCCTAGACTCCGCCCACAAACATGCGTCCTCCCGGGGTCAGGGCCTAGACTCCGCCCACAAACATGCGTCCTCCCGGGGTCAGGGCCTAGACTCCGCCCACAAACATGCGTCCTCCCGGGGTCAGGGCCTAGACTCCGCCCACAAACATGCGTCCTCCCGGGGTCAGGGCCTAGACTCCGCCCACAAACATGCGTCCTCCCGGGGTCAGGGCCTAGACTCTGCCCACAAACATGCGTCCTCCCGGGGTCAAGGCCTAGACTCCGCCCACAAACATGCGTCCTCCCGGGGTCAGGGCCTAGAACCCGCCCACAAACGTGCATCTTCCCAGGGTCAGGGCCTAGACTCCGCCCACAAACGTACATCCTCCAGGTGTCAGGGCCTAGACTCCGCCACAAACATGCGTCCTCCCGGGGTCAGGGCCTAGACTCCGCCCACAAACATGCGTCCTCCCGGGGTCAGGGCCTAGAACCCGCCCACAAACGTGCGTCCTCCCGGGGTCAGGGCCTAGACTCCGCCCACAAACGTACATCCTCCTGGTGTCAGGGCCTAGACTCCGCCCACAAACATGCGTCCTCCCGGGGTCAGGGCCTAGACTCCGCCCACAAACGTGCATCCTCCCGGTGTCAGGGCCTAGACCCCGCCCACAAACGTGCGTCCTCCCGGTGTCAGGGCCTAGACCCCGCCCACAAACGTGCGTCCTCCCGGGGTCAGGGCCTAGACCCCGCCCACAAACGTGCGTCCCTCCCGGGGTCAGGGCCTAGACCCCGCCCACAAACGTGCGTTCTCCCAATGTCAGGGTCTAGATGCCGCCCACAAACGTGCGTCCTCCCAATGTCAGGGTCTAGACGCCGCCCACAAAAATGCGTCCTCCCAATGTCAGGGTCTAGACGCCGCCCACAAACATGCGTCCTCCCGGGGTCAGGGTCTAGACGCCGCCCACAAACATGCGTCCTCCCAATGTCAGGGTCTAGACGCCGCCCACAAACATGCGTCCTCCCAATGTCAGGGCCTAGACTCCGCCCACAAACGTGCGTCCTCCCAGGGTCAGGGTCTAGACTCCGCCCACAAACGTGCGTCCTCCCAATGTCAGGGTCTAGACGCCGCCCACAAACATGCGTCCTCCCAATGTCAGGGTCTAGACGCCGCCCACAAACATGCGTCCTCCCGGGGTTCAGGGCCTAGAACCCGCCCACAAACGTGCGTCCTCCCGGGGTCAGGGCCTAGACTCCGCCCACAAACGTACATCCTCCCGGTGTCAGGGCCTAGACTCCGCCCACAAACATGCGTCCTCCCGGGGTCAGGGCCTAGACTCCGCCCACAAACATGCGTCCTCCCGGGGTCAGGGCCTAGACTCCGCCCACAAACATGCGTCCTCCCGGGGTCAGGGCCTAGACTCCGCCCACAAACATGCGTCCTCCCCGGGGTCAGGGCCTAGACTCCGCCCACAAACATGCGTCCTCCCGGGGTCAGGGCCTAGACTCTGCCCACAAACATGCGTCCTCCCGGGGTCAAGGCCTAGACTCCCGCCCACAAACATGCGTCCTCCCGGGGTCAGGGCCTAGAACCCGCCCACAAACGTGCATCTTCCCAGGGTCAGGGCCTAGACTCCGCCCACAAACGTACATCCTCCAGGTGTCAGGGCCTAGACTCCGCCCACAAACATGCGTCCTCCCGGGGTCAGGGCCTAGACTCCGCCCACAAACATGCGTCCTCCCGGGGTCAGGGCCTAGAACCCGCCCACAAAACGTGCGTCCTCCCAGGGTCAGGGCCTAGACTCCGCCCACAAACGTACATCCTCCTGGTGTCAGGGCCTAGACTCCGCCCACAAACATGCGTCCTCCCGGGGTCAGGGCCTAGACTCCGCCCACAAACATGCATCCTCCCGGGGTCAGGTCCTACACGCCGAGTGGCCGCACATTTGCATTCATGTAACAGAAGACACGCCCCGCCCCCTCCCAGCACACGTCCGGTACTCAGGGAAAGGTCCCAGTCCGCTCTTACGATTGGGACCCTTCCTGATCATGTGACCACCATGACGCTTCACAGCAGTCACATGATCCCTAAACCACGCCCCCACCTCCCGGCATCTGAAGCTCTTATAGGGCCGGGAGGCGTCAGTGGGAGGGGTCAGGTCCGGCAATGATCCCAATTTGAGGGTTTTGGATCACAGATTATCCATCACATTGTAGTCCTTGTAGGGGGGGGGGGGGGGGGGGGTCAGGAGAGGACCTGCAAGGAGCGTCCTCTGAACATTCATTGGCTGATCACAGAGAAGAGCCCGCCCCCCCCGGTACAATATAGACACAGAAATCTCACCCCAATCACATTATACATTTATTGGTGAACAAAGCCCCCCCCCCCCCCCCCCCGAGCTACTGTCCCTCCGAGGGAAGGTCCTGATAGTCCACAAACAGCTGGGCTGTGAACCGCACACATACCGCCCCTCACTGGGCATAGCTGGGCACCGGGGCTGCGAGCAGCACACATACCGCCAGGCTCCGGGGCCATGAGCCGCACACATACCGCCCCTCACCGGGCATAGCTGGGCTCCGGGGCCGTGAGCCGCACACATACCGCTCCTCACCAACAGGGGTGCAGGATGCAGCACGACCCGTATACAGAGAAAACGTGTGTCACTTCCTGCCGATACACAGGCAGCGATGTCATCAGAGGTCACACAGTCATATCCGGTGATGTCATCAGAAGTCACACAGTCAGATGATGTCATCAGAGGTCACACAGTCATATCCGGTGATGTCATCAGAGGTCACACAGTCATAGATGATGTCATCAGAGGTCACACAGTCATAGATGATGTCATCAGAGGTCACACAGTCATAGATGATGTCATCAGAGGTCACACAGTCATATCCGGTGATGTCATCAGAGGTCACACAGTCATATCCGGTGACGTCATCACGTGGGAAGGAGAAGCAGTCTCTGTGCAGCCTCGCCGGGTGATTGGCAGTCTGGAAGAGTCTCACTCCTCCCGTCCCAGATCCGGGTTCCGCGGCATCTGCAGCATTTCTGTGATTTTCTCCATCTCATCGGCAGCCGATTCGGCGCCCGCCTTTTGCATGTCCTGCATGATGTCATCGGTGAGTTGGATCCGCTCACTCCTGACCAATCGGGAGAAAGAGGGAGTCACAATGGGGGCGGAGAGAGAAGGTATCGGGGGGGGGGGGGGGGGGGGAGAGAGAGGAAAAAACCAACTTCTTACCATTCCTGTAACTTGTCCTCATACAGTTGGTGGCGCTGCCTGCGCTTGTATTCCCGCAGATCCTCCCCCATCAGGGCCTGCAACACGGAGGACAACGCCCCCACCGGGACCCTGCAGGAAAAGAGGTACCGCCCCCCACATCAGATACCGCCATCATCGGACCAATCACAGCCACACACACCACCACACTCACCCCAGCAGGGCTCCAATGACTGATCCACCAATCAGACCCCTCAGTCCGAGGCTCATCCGGAACAGACCGCCCGTGACCGCTGCGGGGACAATGCCACGTTATCGGCTGGTGCGCTATATAAGAGGGGAGAGGAGGGGGGGGGGAAACAATATACAAGGGGGGAGAGGAAGGGGGGGAGGGACACAATATACAAGGGGGGAGAGGAAGGGGGGGAGGGACACGATATACAAGGGGGGGACACAATATACAAGAGGGGAGAGGAGGGGGGGGGGACACGATATACAAGGGGGGAGAGGAAGGGGGGGGGGGGGACACAAGAGGGGAGAGGAGGGGGGGGGACACAATATACAAGGGGGGGACACAATATACAAGAGGGGAGAGGAAGGGGGGGACACGATATACAAGGGGGGAGAGGAAGGGGGGGAGGGACACGATATACAAGGGGGGAGAGGAAGGGGGGGGGGACACAATATACAAGGGGGGAGAGGAAGGGGGGGGGGGGGGGACACAATATACAAGAGGGGAGAGGAAGGGGGGGACACAATATACAAGGGGGGAGAGGAAGGGGGGGAGGGACACAAGAGGGGAGGAGGAGGGGGGGGGGGGAAACAATATACAAGGGGGGGACACAATATACAAGAGGGGAGAGGAGGGGGGGGACATATACAAGAGGGAGAGAGGAGGGGGGGGACACGATATACAAGAGGGGAGAGGAGGGGGGGGACAAGATATACAAGAGGGGAGAGGAGGGGGGGGACACGATATACAAGAGGGGAGAGGAGGGGGGGGGGGACACGATATACAAGAGGGGGGGAGGGGGGGGGGGGGGGGGGGGACACGATATACAGAGAGGGACACGATATACAAGAGGGGAGGGGGGGGGGGGGGACACGATATAAACAAGGGGGGGGGGGGGGATCACGATATACAAGAGGGGAGAGGAGGGGGGGGGAGGACACGATATACAAGAGGGGAGAGGAGGGGGGGGACACGATATACAAGAGGGGAGAGGGGGGGGGACACGATATACAAGAGGGGAGAGGGGGGGGGGACAAGATATACAACAGGGGAGAGGAGGGGGGGGGGGGACACGATATACAAGAGGGGAGAGGAGGGGGGGGGGGACACGATATACACAGAGAGGGGGGGCACGATATACAAGAGGGAGAGGAGGGGGGGGGGGACACGATATACAAGAGGGGAGAGGAGGGGGGGGGGGACACGATATACCAGAGGGGAGAGGAGGAGGGGGGGGGGACACGATATACCAGAGGGGAGAGGAGGGGGGGGCAAGATATACAAGAGGGGAGAGGAGGGGGGGGACACGATATACAAGGGGGGGGGGCACGATATACAAGAGGGGAGAGGAGGGGGGGGGGACACGATATACAAGAGGGGAGAGGAGGGGGGGGGGGACACGATATACAAGGGGGGGCACGATATACAAGAGGGGAGAGGAGGGGGGGGGGGGGACACGATATACAAGAGGGGAGAGGAGGGGGGGGGGGTACGATGTACAAGGGGGGGGCACGATATACAAGAGGGGAGAGGAGGGGGGGGGGGGACACGATATACAAGAGGGGAGAGGAGGGGGGGGACACGATATACAAGGGGGGGGGCACGATATACAAGAGGGGAGAGGAGGGGGGGGGGGACACGATATACAAGGGGGGGGCACGATATACAAGAGGGGAGAGGAGGGGGGGGGGACACGATATACAAGGGGGGAGAGGAAGGGGGGGGGGACACGATATACAAGGGGGGGACACGATATACAAGAGGGGAGAGTATGTATATAATGGGAGAGTCCCCTCATGTATATAATGTACCCCCCTCATGTATATCATGTACCCCCTCATGTATATAATGCACCCCCCCTCCTGTCCCCTCATGTATATAATGCACCCCCCCTCCTGTCCCCTCATGTATATAATGTACCCCCCTCCTGTCCCCTCATGTATATAATGTCCCCCCTCATGTATATAATGTACCCCCCCTCATGTATATCATGTACCCCCCTCATGTATATCATGTACCCCCCTCCTGTCCCCTCATGTATATAATGTACCCCCCCTCCTGTCCCCTCATATATATAATGTACCCCCCCTCCTGTCCCCTCATGTATATAATGTACCCCCCTCATGTATATAATGTACCCCCCTCATGTATATAATGTACCCCCCTCCTGTCCCCTCATATAAATGTACCCCCCCTCCTGTCCCCTCATGTATATAATGCACCCCCTCCTGTCCCCTCATGTATATAATGCACCCCCCCCTGTCCCCTCATGTTTATAATGTACCCCCCCTCCTGTATATAATGCACCCCCTCCTGTCCCCTCATGTATATAATGCACCCCCCTCCTGTCCCCTCATATATATATAATGCACCCCCCTCCTGTCCCCTCATGTATATAATGCACCCCCCCCTGTCCCCTCATGTATATAATGCACCCCCCTCCTGTCCCCTCATATATATATAATGCACCCCCCTCCTGTCCCCTCATGTATATAATGCACCCCCTCCTGTCCCCCCTCATGTATATAATGCACCCCCTCCTGTCCCCTCATGTATATAATGCACCCCCCCTCCTGTCCCCTCATGTATATAATGCACCCCCCCCTGTCCCCTCATGTATATATAATGCACCCCCCCTCCTGTCCCCTCATATATATATAATATATATATATATATATATAATGCACCCCCCCCTCCTGTCCCCTCATATATATATAATGCACCACCCCCGTCCCCTCATATATATATATATATAATGCACCCCCCCTCCTGTCCCCTCATATATATATATATATATATAATGCACCCCCCTCCTGTCCCCTCATATATATATAATGCACCCCCCTCCTGTCCCCTCATGTATATAATGCACCCCCTCCTGTCCCCTCATGTATATATAATGCACCCCCTCCTGTCCCCTCATGTATATATAATGCACCCCCCTCCTGTCCCCTCATGTATATAATGCACCCCCCCTGTCCCCTCATGTATATAATGCACCCCCCCCTGTCCCCTCATGTATATAATGCACCCCCCCCTGTCCCCTCATGTATATATAATGCACCCCCCCTCCTGTCCCCTCATATATATATAATGCACCCCCCCTCCTGTCCCCTCATATATATATATATAAATGCACCCCCCCCCTCCTGTCCCCTCATATATATATATATATATAATGCACCCCCCCTCCTGTCCCCTCATCATATATATATAATGCACCCCCCCTCCTGTCCCCTCATATATAATGGTATCCTGTATATAATATATAATGTACCCCCCCCTCCTGTCCCCTCATGTATATATATAATGCACCCCCCCTCCTGTCCCCTCATATATATATAATGCACCCCCCCTCCTGTCCCCTCATATATATATATAATGCACCCCCCCTCCTGTCCCCTCATATATATATATATATATAAAATGCACCCCCCCTCCTGTCCCCTCATATATATATATATATAATGCACCCCCCCTCCTGTCCCCTCATATATATATAATGTACCCCCCCTCCTGTCCCCTCATATATATATATATATAATGCACCCCCCCTCCTGTCCCCTCATATATATATATATATATAATGCACCCCCCCTCCTGTCCCCTCATATATATATATATATATAATGCACCCCCCCTCCTGTCCCCTCATATATATATATATATATAATGCACCCCCCTCCTGTCCCCTCATATATATATAATGTACCCCCCTCCTGTCCCCTCATGTATATAATGCACCCCCCCCTGTCCCCTCATGTATATAATGTCCCCCCCCCCCATATTATGACACGGATGCCCCCGGTGGTGATGGGCGGGATGCAGTAGAAGAGGAAACATGAAGACAAATCACCTCCAGCCGCTGCATAATGACCGATGACGACTTTATCCCGATAGGCCGAGAGTCCGGAGCTGACACCACTGGAAGAGAGTAACACAGGAGGGGGGATGGATTGGGGGGGGGGAATATTATTATTATACAGGATTTATGGCTCCAACAGTGTCCTCAGCACTTTACAATGTAACAGGAGACAATACAGATCAATACAAGGGGGGGGGGCTGATCCTGGGAGCTTACAATCTAAAGGAATATGAAGGGGGACAAGGTGGATGGGATGGGGGGGGAGTAATATGAAGGGGGATGGGATGGTAGGGGGGGGTGATAGAATGAATTTGGGGGGGGGGGGAAATGAAATGGATTGGGGGGGTGTGTGCGATGGAATAGATTGCGGGATAGGATGGGATGGATTGGGGGGATGGATGAGGAAGGGGGGATGGGATGGATGAAGGGGGGGGGGATGGGATGGATGAGGACAGGGGGGATGGAATGCATGGGGATTGGGGGATGGATGTGGATTGGGGATGGATGTGGAGGGGGGGTATGGGATGGATGGGGGGTATGGGATGGATGGGGATTAGGGGATGGATGAGGAGGAGGGGGGAAGGGATGGGGGGGGGGTTGACACAAGATGGATGGGACGGATGGGGGGGACATGGGATGGATGGGATGGATGGGGATTAGGGGGATGGATGATGAGGAGGGGGGGAAGGGATGGGGGGACACAAGATGGATGGGACGGATGGGGGGGGACATGGGATGGATGGGGGGGGATGGGATGGATGGGGGGATTAGGGGATGGATGAGGAGGAGGGGGGAAGGGACGGGGGGGACATGGGATGGATGAGGGGGATGGGATGGATGCAAGGGGGGGGGAAGGGAGGGGATGGATGGGGATTGGGGGATGGATGAGGAGGAGGGAAGGGATGGGGGGGACACGGGATGGATGCAGGGGGGGGGGATGGGATGGATGGGGATTGGGGGATGGATGGGGGGGACACGGGGTGAATGGGGGGGATGGGATGGATGCAGGGGGGCGGGGATGGGATGGATGGGGATTGGAGGATGGATGTGGAGGGGGAAAGGGATGGGGGGGATCTGGAGGGGGGGATGGATGCAGGGGGGGAACACGGGATGGATTGATGAGGAGAGGGGGGTGGGATGGATGTGGAGGGGGGGGGATGGGATGGATGCAGGGGGAGGACACAGGATAGATGGATGAGGAGGGGGGATGGGGGGGACACGGGATGGATGGATGAGGAGGGGGGATGGGATGGATGTAAAGGGGGGGATGGGATGGATGCGGGGGGGGGACACGGGATGGATGGATGAGGAGGGGGGATGTGGGGGGGGACATGGGATGGATGGATGAGGAGGGGGGATGGGATGGATGTGGAGGGGGGATGGGATGGATGCGGGGGGGGGGGACACGGGATGGATGGATGAGGAGGGGGGGATGTGGGGGGGGACACGGGATGGATGGATGAGGAGGGGGGATGGGATGGATGTGGAGGGGGGGATGGGATGGATGCGGGGGGGGGGGGGGGGGGGGGACACAGGATGGATGGATGAGGAGGGGGGATGGGATGGATGGATGAGGAGGGGGGGATGGGATGGATGCGGGGGGAGGGGACACGGGATGGATGGATGAGGAGGGGGGATGGGATGGGGGGGGGACACGGGATGGATGGATGAGGAGGGGGGATGGGATGGGGGGGACACGGGATGGATGGATGTGGAGGGGGGATGGGATGGATGCGGGGGGGGGGGGGGGGGGGACACGGGATGGATGGATGAGGAGGGGGGATGGGATGGGGATGGGGGGGGACACGGGATGGATGGATGAGGAGGGGGGATGTGGGGGGGGACACGGGATGGATGGATGAGGAGGGGGGATGGGATGGATGCGGGGGGGGGGGACACGGGATGGATGGATGAGGAGGGGGGATGGGATGGGGGGGACATGGGATGGATGGATGAGGAGGGGGATGGGATGGGGAGGACATGGGATGGATGGATGAGGAGGGGGGATGGGATGGGGATGGGGGGGGACACGGGATGGATGGATGAGGAGGGGGGATGGGATGGGGATGGGGGGGGACACGGGATGGATGGATGAGGAGGGGGGATGTGGGGGGGGACACGGGATGGATGGATGAGGAGGGGGGATGGGATGGATGCGGGGGGGGGGGGTGGACACGGGATGGATGGATGAGGAGGGGGGGGATGGGGAATGGGGGGGGACACGGGATGGATGAGGAGGGGGGATGGGATGGGGGGGACACGGGATGGATGGATGAGGAGGGGGGATGGGATGGGGAGGGGGGGGGGACACAACAGCACTCACTTGAATATGGTGACGAAGGCGCCGATTCTCCACCCCCAGCGGAATCCGTAGCGGATGAATCCCCGGATGGCGGCGTTGTGGGCGGCTCTCTGTGGGGAGGGGGAGGAGATTGGCGGTGAGGGGGGGGGGGTGGTAATTTGGGATGACATCACAGCCCCCCCCCCGGGTCTTACCACGGCCTCCACGCGGTGTTGGTAGATCTCGGCTCGGCTCTTCTGGATGAATTGTTCTCGGCTGAAGCGAGCGGCCGGCACCCCCCCGTACACCGCGCCCACCAACACCCCCATCACCGCGCTCTTCACCATGTACTCCGCCTCCTGCGACAACTCACCGCGCTCACTGTGGGGGGGGACAACCAACGGGGGTGTACACACCATAACAGGGGGAGGGGTGCAGATCACATGACATGGGGGGGGGGGTGAGGGGTGCAGATCACATGACATGGGGGGGAGGGGTGCAGATCACATGACATGGGGGGGAGGGGTGCAGATCACATGACATGGGGGGGGATGGGGGGGGGGAGGGGTGCAGATCACATGACATGGGGGGGGAGGGGTGCAGATCACATGACATGGGGGGGGGGGATGCAGATCACACATGACATAGGGGGGGGGGGGGATGCAGATCACATGACATAGGGGGGGGGGGATGCAGATCACATGACATGGGGGGGGGCACTCACTTGCGGTGGTACAGCTCCCGCACTCTCTCCCAGCCGCTGTCAGGAATATCCGATGGGGGGAGGAACTGGGAGCCCGGGGGGGGATGGGGAGGGGGGGGCCCCCGACAGAGGAACGTCCTCCATCTGTAATAGAAGAGGGAGGAGGATGATACCAGAGATAACCCCTCCCCCACCCAAAACTGAGACCCTCCCCCACCCAAAAACTGAGACCCTCCTCCACCCAGATCTGAGACCCTCCCCCACCCAAAACTGAGACCCTCCTCCACCCAGATCTGAGACCCTCCCCCACCCAAAACGGAGACCCTCCTCCACCCAGATCTGGGACCCTCCCCACCCAAAAACTGAGACCCTCCTCCACCCAGATCTGGGACCCTCCCCCACCCAAAACTAAGACCCTCATCCAACCAAAACTTAGACCCTCCCCCATTCAAAACTGATACCCTCCCCCGCCCAGAAGTGAGACCCTCCCCCTCCCAGAAGTGAGACCCTCCTCCACCCAAAAACTGAGACCCTCCCCCACCTAAAACTGAGACCCTCCCCCACCTAAAACTGAGACCCTCCCCCACCCAAAACTAAGACCCTCATCCAACCAAAACTTAGACCCTCCCCCATACAAAACTGAGACCCTCCCCCACCCAGATCTGGGACCCTCCCCCACCCAAAAACTGAGACCCTCCTCCACCCAGATCTGAGACCCTCCCCCACCCAAAACTGAGACCCTCCTCCACCCAGATCTGAGACCCTCCCCCACCCAAAAACTGAGACCCTCCTCCACCCAGATCTGAGACCCTCCCCCACCCAAAACTGAGACCCTCCTTCACCCCAGATCTGGGACCCTCCCCCACCCAAAACTAAGACCCTCATCCAACCAAAACTTAGACCCTCCCCCATTCAAAACTGAGACCCTCCCAAAACTGATACCCTCCCCCGCCCAGAAGTGAGACCCTCCCCCTCCCAGAAGTGAGACCCTCCTCCACCCAAAAAAACTGAGACCCTCCCCCACCTAAAACTGAGACCCTCCCCCACCTAAAACTGAGACCCTCCCCCACCTAAAACTGAGACCCTCCCCCACCCAAAACTAAGACCCTCATCCAACCAAAACTTAGACCCTCCCCCATACAAAACTGAGACCCTCCCCCGCCCAGAAGTGAGACCCTCCCCCAACCAAAACTAAACCCCCCCCCAGAAGTGAGACCCTCCCTCTCCCAGAAGTGAGACCATCCCCCACCCAAAACTGAGACCCTCCTCCACCCAGATCTGAGACCCTCCCCCACCCAAAAACTGATACCCTCCCCCGCCCAAAACTAAGACCCTCATCCAACCAAAACTTAGACCCTCCCCCATACAAAACTGAGACCCTCCCCCGCCCCAGAAGTGAGACCCTCCCCCCATAGAAAACTGAGACCCTCCCCCTCCCAGGATTAGTCACCTTTCTCTGTCTGTGGTGAGCTCTGACCCTCCACTAGTCACGTGTCTCACAGAAGTCTCCTTCCCTCCGCTGCACTCTCCATGCTTTCCTCCTCTCTGCCCTTCAGCCTTCCTCCAGGTTCCAATATGGCGAATTCCGTACTTCCTGTGATTGCGTCATGACGTAGGGGATCAGCGCGAACACGCCTCGTGTCATGGAGCCGGAGGATGAGGATTGGTTCTAAAAAGGGCTCCGCCCCTCCATCAGTCTCCTCCCACTACCGCACATTAATCTCTGCCTCGCGTTTGCTGCCATCTCCCCGCCCAACCGATCCACCAATAGGAACGAGGGGCCCATAGAAGGGTCTGTGTCCACCAATCCCAGATAGACAGAGGATTCATCTACCCTCCCCCCACGTATACAGGCGTAGTGGCAAGATCTGCCCCCCTTGCGGCAACTGCGCATGTGCCAGTTTCAGGCATAAGCAGCCGATCGCTCTGTAACCCCTTTTATGCCGAATTCCACTTACAGGAACCGCTGAATCGGATCACCGGCGCTGAAACATGTGTCCAAGCTGCGGGGGGTTGTGACATGGGGGGGCCATAACATGTGGGGGGGGTCAGTGACATGGGGGGGCCATAACATGTGTCCAAGCTGCGGGGGGTTGTGACATGGGGGGGCCATAACATGTGGGGGGGGGGTCAGTGACATGGGGGGGGCCATAACATGTGTCCAAGCTGCGGGGGGTTGTGACATGGGGGGGCCATAACATGTGGGGGGGGGGTCAGTGACATGGGGGGGCCATAACATGTGTCCAAGCTGCGGGGGGTTGTGACATGGGGGGGCCATAACATGGGGGGGGTCAGTGACATGGGGACAGTCACATGTGGGGGGGCCATAACATGTGGGGGGGGGGTCGGTGACATGGGGGGGCCATAACATGTGGGGGGGATCAGTGACATGGGGACAGTCACATGTGGGGGGGCCATAACATGTGGGGGGGGTCGGTGACATGGGGACAGTCACATGTGGGGGGGGGGCCATAACATGTGGGGGGGGGTCGGTGACATGGGGGGGCCATAACATGTGGGGGGGGGGGGGTCAGTGACATGGGGGGGGTCAGTGACATGGGGGGGACAGTCACATGTGGGGGGGGGGTCAGTGACATGGGGGGGCCATAACGTGTGGGGGGGGTCAGTGACATGGGGGGGGGCCATAACGTGTGGGGGGGTCAGTGACATGGGGGGGCCATAACGTGTGGGGGGGTCAGTGACATGGGGGGGGGGACAGTCACATGTGGGGGGGATCAGTGACATGGGGGGGCCATAACGTGTGGGGGGGTCAGTGACATGGGGGGGGCCATAACGTGTGGGGGGGGGTCAGTGACATGGGGGGGCCATAACGTGTGGGGGGGTCAGTGACATGGGGGGGCCATAAACGTGTGGGGGGGGTCAGTGACATGGGGGGGCCATAACGTGTGGGGGGGTCAGTGACATGGGGGGGCATAACGTGTGGGGGGGTCAGTGACATGGGGGGGCATAACGTGTGGGGGGGTCAGTGACATGGGGGGGCCATAACGTGTGGGGGGGTCAGTGACATGGGGGGGCCATAATGTGTGGGGGGGGTCAGTGACATGGGGGGGCATAACGTGTGGGGGGGGTCAGTGACATGGGGGGGCCATAACGTGTGGGGGGGTCAGTGACATGGGGGGGCCATAACGTGTGGGGGGGGTCAGTGACATGGGGGGCCATAACATGGGGGGGGTCAGTGACATGGGGGGCCATAACGTGTTGGTGGGGGGTAGTTAGGCGACGTTCACACCAGCGTTGTGAGAGGCGGCAGAGAGGCGTTTGTAGTGTTTTTTACCGCTTCCCATACGCCTCTGCCAACTCTGCACAGTGCAGCACACGGTGCTGTTCTAACGGGAGCGTTTGCGTCGCGGCAAAAAAACGGACGCCTCCGGTCGAGTCGGGAGGCTTTGAAGCCTATTCTCGTCTATGGTGCCGCTCCGCAAACGCCCGGCCGGCGTGTGCGGTTGTGATGCGGTGCGTTTGCGGAGCGGTAACACCACTCAAATGCATTATAGGCGTTTGTGGGGCGTTATTAACGCTTGGCAAACGCCTAGCAACCGCCCGCGCTAAACCACGCATGCGGCGTTTGCGGAGCGTTTGCCGAGCGTTAAAAACGCCCCACAAACACCGGACCAACACTTGCCAAACGCTATAGGGGCGTTTGGCAAGCGTTGGCAAAACAGTCTAGTGTGAACGAGCCCTGAGGGTGTATTTTTGTTTTGTGCTGCCCTAGGTAAGACTAAAATCGGGCACCAACTCATCTGCAAACTCCACCCCTTTCTATTAGAGCTCCACCCCTCCACTGACACCAATGATGGGGCACTATTCCCCCCACTGACACAATGATGGGGCACTATTCCTCCCACTGACACCAATGATGGGGGCACTATTCCTCCCACTGACACCAATGATGGGACACTATTCCCCCCACTGACACCAATGATGGGGGACACCAATGATGGGGCACTATTCCTCCCACCAATGATGGGGCACTATTCCTCCACACACCAATGATGGGGTACTATTCCTCCCACTGACACCAATGATGACTATTCCTCCCCACCAATGATGGGGTACTATTCCTCCCACTCCCACTGACACCAATGATGGGGCACTATTCCTCCCACTGACACCAATGATGGGGCACTATTCCTCCTCCCACTGACACCAATGACACCTATTGATGGGGCACTATTCCTCCCACTGACACCAATGATGGGGCACTATTCCTCCCACTGACACCAATCCCTCCCACTAGACACCAATGATGGGGCACTATTCCCCCCACTGACACCAATGATGGGACAATATTCCTCCCACTGACACCATGATGGGGCACTATTCCTCCCACTGACACCAATGACACCAATGATGGGGCGCTATTCCTCCCACTGACACCAATGATGGGGGACACTATTTCCTCCCACTGACACCAATGATGGGGCACTATTCCTCCTGACTGACACCACCAATGATGGGGCACTCACTCCCAATGATGGGGCGCTATTCTGACACCAATGATGGGGCACTATTCCTCCCACTGACACCAATGATGGGACACTATTCCTCCCACTGACACCAATGATGGGGCACTATTCCTCCCACTGACACCAATGATGGGGCACTATTCCTCCACTGACACCAATGATGGGACGCTATTCCTCCCACTGACATTCCTCCCCTCCCACTGACACCAATGATGGGGCGCTATTCCTCCTCCCAATGATTGGGGCACTATTCCTCCCACTGACACCAATGATGGGGCACTATTCCTCTTCACTGACACTGATGGGGCACCACTGACACCAATGATGGGGCTAATATTCCTCCACTTGATGGGGCCTATTCCTCCCCACTGACACCAATGATGGGGCGCTTTCACTATTCCTCCACTGACACCAATGATGGGACACTATTCCTCCACTGACACCAATGATGGGGCACTATTCCTCCCACTGACACCAATGATGGGGGACACTATTCCTCCACTGACACCAATGATGGGGCACTATTCCTCCCACTGACACCAATGATGGGGCACTATTCCTCCACTGACACCAATGATGGGGCACTATTCCTCCCACTGACACCAATGATGGGGCATGGGGCACTATTCCTCCCACTGACACCAATGACTGGGGCACTATTCCTCCACTGACACCACTGGGGCACTATTTCCTCCTGTCCAATGATGGGGCACATCCAATGATGGGGCACTATTCCTCCACTGACACCAATGATGGGGCACTATTCCTCCCACTGACACCAATGATGGGGCACTATTCCTCACCACTGACACCAATGACGAGGCACTATTCCTCCCTGACTGACACCAATGACGGGGCACTATTCCCCCCACTGACACCAATGATGGGGCACTATTCCTCCCACTGACACCAATGATGGGGCACTATTCCCCCCCCACTGACACCAATGGTGGGGCACTATTCCTCCCACTGACACCAATGACACCAATGATGGGGGCACTATTCCTCCCACTGACACCAATGATGGGGCACTATTCCTCCCACTGACACCAATGATGGGACACTATTCCTCCCACTGACACCAATGATGGGACACTATTCCCCCCACTGACACCAATGATGGGGCACTATTCCTCCCTGACTACTGACACCAATGACACCAATGGGGCGCTATTCCTCCCACTGACACCAATGATGGGACACTATTCCCCCACTGACACCAATGATGGAGCCCCATCATTAGTGTCAGTGGGTGGAGCTCTAATAAGAGGTGGAGCCTAAAGAGAAAGGGGTGGAGTTTGCAGATGAGTTGGTGCCCGATTTTAGTCTTACCTAGGGCAGTACAAAACAAAAATACACCACTAACTGCCCCCCCCCCCATGTCACTTCCCCCTCTCATGTCAGTGTCCTACCCCTGTCACACCCCCATCCTCCCCACACGTCACTGGCCCCCCCATGTCATTGATCCCCCCACATGTAACTACCCCAGCAACACATTATGGCCCCCCCCATGTCACTTCCCCACACCTGTAGCAGTAAGATCTGCCCCCTTGTCATCCCCCCCCCAAAGATCAGTCCCCCTTGAGGCAAATTTCCACCCCCATGTTATGGCCCCCCATGTCACTGATCCCCCCACATGTTATGGCCCCCCCATGTCACTGATCCGCCCACATGTTATGGCCCCCCCATGTCACTGATCCCCCCACTGTTGGTGGCCCCCCCATGTCACTGATCCCCCCACATGTTATGGCCCCCCCATGTCACTGATCCCCCCACATGTTATGGCCCCCCCATGTCACTGATCCCCCCACATGTTATGGCCCCCCCATGTCACTGATCCCCCCCACATGTTATGGCCCCCCCATGTCACTGATCCCCCCACATGTTATGGCCCCCCCATGTCACTGATCCCCCCACATGTTATGGCCCCTTCATGTCACTGATCCCCCCCACATGTTATGGCCCCCCCATGTCACTGACCCCCCCACATGTGACTGTCCCCCCCAAGTCACAACCCCCCGCAGCTTGGACACGTTGCGGGAGGATCGTCAGCTCCGGTGATCCGAGGGATCCGATTCAGCGGTTCCTGTAAGTGGAATCCGGCATAAAAGGGGTTAACGTGCTACAGAGCGAGATCGCCGATCGGCTGCTTATGCCTGAAACTGGCACATGCTCAGTTGTGTGAAGGGAACAGATCTACCCCACACAGGAGTACCGGCTCCTCCCCTTCAGTCTTGCACAGGTGTACCGGCTCCTCCCCTTCAGTCTTGCACAGGTGTACCGGCTCCTCCCCTTCAGTCTTGTACAGGTGTACCGGCTCCTCCCCTTCAATCTTGCACAGGGGTACCGGCTCCTCCCCTTCAATCTTGCACAGGGGTACCGGCTCCTCCCCTTCAGTCTTACACAGGTGTACCGGCTCCTCCCCTTCAGTCTCGCACAGGTGTACCGACTCCTCCCCTTCAGTCTCGCACAGGTGTACCGGCTCCTCCCCTTCACTCTCGCACAGGTGTACCGGCTCCTCCCCTTCATTCTTGCACAGGTGTACCGGCTCCTCCCCTTCAGTCATTCACAGGTGTACCGGCTCCTCCCCTTCAGTCTTACACAGGTGTACCGGCTCCTCCCCTTCAGTCTTACACAGGTGTACCGGCTCCTCCCCTTCAGTCTTGCACAGGTGTACCGGCTCCTCCCCTTCATTCTTGCACAGGTGTATCGGCTCCTCCCCTTCATTCTTGCACAGGTGTACTGACTCCTCCCCCTGGTTCCTCTGATGTCACTGCACAATGGGAGTTTCCTGACAGGAGAACGTCCAGCATCTTCTTGCTCTTTCTTCCCCAGGCTGACTGTCCCTGGCCCCACCCCTTTCATTCATTGAATTTCAGTTCTGTCAATCATGGAGGCTCAGCATCATATGTGGGCGTTTCCTATGCAAATACAGCCTGCCTAGGAACCACCCATTCCTCCACACACCCTCCCATCAAGCCATTTTTACAATTTGCATAACTCCTCCCACTGCATGTATCAGGACTGAGGGTGGGGGGAGGGGGGGAGTACTGAGGCAGGGGGTTGGAATGTTTTTAGGAATCCATGTACAGCCCCCTGCTGGCCCCTCCCACCAGCCATGATCTGCCTGCATTGCATAGAGAAGCGCAGAGACCCAATGATGACATCACCAGGTCTACTATAACAACACTTGTTATCTGGTCATCATTCTTCCCTTCATCTCACCAATCACAACACTACTCTTCAAGCTCCACCCCTCACCAACATTGTAGCTCCTCCTCCTCACCTGCTGCCATGGAATGGAATCATCTGATCGTGGCTTCCTCTCTTCCATGAGCAGGGCGCCCCCCACAGGAGAAAACCAGGCCCGGGGTGGAGTGCCCCCCACAGGGGAAAACCAGGCCCGGGGTGGAGTGCCCCCCACAGGGGAAAACCAGGCCCGGGGTGGAGTGCCCCCCACAGGGGAAAACCAGGCCCGGGGTGGAGTGCCCCCCACAGGGGAAAACCAGACCCTGCTACTGATGGGTGGAATCTCAGTGGGTGGGGCGCCCCCTATGGTCACTGGTGAAGTTTCCATTATGTGATATAAATGACAGATATGTCAAACAATTGCCAGACAGAGAGGCGTGATTGGTCACTCCAGAGAACACGTCTCCTCTGCTCTAGAGTCCAGTGGCGGCATGCTTTACACCACGGCATCTGACGCTTTGCATTGCACTTGGTGATGGAAGGCTTGATGCAGCTGCTCGGCCATGGAAACCCATTCCATGAAGCTCTCTACACACTGTTGTTGGGCTCATCTGAAGGCCACACCAAGTTTGGAGGTCTTTAGCTATTGACTCTGCAGACAGTTGGTGACTTCTGCGCACTGTGCGCTTCAGCATGCGCTGACCCCGCCCTGTCATGTGACGTGGCCTACCACTTGGTGGCTGAGTGGCTGTTGTTCCCAGTTGGCTTCCACTTTGTTATAATCCCACTAACAGTTGAGCGTGGAATATTTAGTAGCCAGGAAATGTCACGGATGGACTTATTGCCCAGGTGGCCACCTATCACGGGACCACGCTTGGAGTCACTGAGCTCCTGAGAGCGACCCATTCTTTCACCAATGTTTGTAGAAGCCGTCTGCATGCCTAGGGGCTTGATTGTATACACCTGTGTCCATGGAGGGGATTGGAACACCTGAATCACATGATATGGAGGGGATTGGAACACCTGAATCACATGATATGGAGGGGATTGGAACACCTGAATCACATGATTGGGAGGGGATTGGAACACCTGAATCACATGATATGGAGGGGGTTGGAACACCCGAATCACATGATATGGAGGGGATTGGAACACCCGAATCACATGATATGGAGGGGATTGGAACACCCGAATCACATGATTGGGAGGGGATTGGAACACCTGAATCACATGATATGGAGGGGGTTGGAACACCCGAATCACATGATATGGAGGGGATTGGAACACCCGAATCACATGACACGGAGGGGATTGGAACACCCGAATCACATGACACGGAGGGGATTGGAACACCCGAATCACATGACACGGAGGGGATTGGAACACCCGAATCACGACACGGAGGGGATTGGAACACCCGAATCACAACACGGAGGGGATTGGAACACCCGAATCACATGACTTGGAGGGGATTGGAACACCTGAATCACATGATATGGAGGGGATTGGAACACCTGAATCACATGATATGGAGGGGATTGGAACGCCTGAATCACATGATTGGGAGGGGATTGGAACACCTGAATCACATGATATGGAGGGGGTTGGAACACCCGAATCACATGATATGGAGGGGATTGGAGCACCTGAATCACATGATGTGGAGGGGATTGGGACACCTGAATCACATGATGTGGAGGGGATTGGGACCCCTGAATCACATGATACGGAGGGGATTGGAACACCTGAATCACATGATACGGAGGGGATTGGAACACCTGAATCACATGATACGGAGGGGATTGGAGCACCTGAATCACATGATGTGGAGGGGATTGGGACACCTGAATCACATAATGTGGAGGGGATTGGGACCCCTGAATCACATGATATGGAGGGGATTGTAACACCTGAATCACATGATATGGAGGGGATTGGAACACCTGAATCACATGACACGGAGGGGATTGGGACCCCTGAATCACATGATACGGAGGGGATTGTAACACCTGAATCACATGATATGGAGGGGATTGGAACACCTGAATCACATGATACGGAGGGGATTGGAACACCTGAATCACATGATATGGAGGGGATTGGAACACCTGAATCACATGATATGGAGGGGGGAACAATAGTGTATTTCTGACCCTCACCTCTTGCATGATGGGACATCAGAGGGAGGTCTGCAGAAATGGAGGTACCTCTGGGGGGAGAGGCGGATTGGGGGGGTTACACTCAGTCCAGTGCCCTCCCCCCATCATCACATGACGAATGCCACAAATATCATAGAAAACATTTAATGTACAAAAACGGGAGATGGATGGGAGGATGAGCGCCCCCCAGGAGGAGGATGACCCGCACTGCGCCCCCCAGGAGGAGGATGACCCGCACTGCGCCCCCCAGGAGGAGGATGACCCGCACTGTGCCCCCTAGGAGAAGGATGACCCGCACTGCGCCCCCCGGGAGAAGGATGACCCCCCACTGCGCCCCCTGGGAGATGGATGACCCGCACTGCGCCCCTCAGGAGGAGGATGACCCGCACTGCGCCCCCCAGGAGGAGGATGACCCGCACTGCGCCCCCCGGGAGAAGGATGACCCCCACTGCGCCCCCTAGAAGGATGACCCGCACTGCGCCCCCTAGAAGGATGACCCGCACTGCGCCCCCTAGAAGGATGACCCGCGCCCCCTAGAAGGATGACCCGCACTGCGCCCCCTAGAAGGATGACCCGCACTGCGCCCCCTAGAAGGATGACCCGCACTGCGCCCCCTAGGAGGATGACCCGCACTGCGCCCCCTAGGAGGATGACCCGCACTGCGCCCCCTAGAAGGATGCGCCCCCCCTAGGAGGATGACCCGCACTGCGCCCCCTAGAAGGATGACCCGCACTGCGCCCCCTAGAAGGATGACCCGCACTGCACCCCTGGCCCGCACCCCCCCTGGATTGACCCGCAGTGCCCCCTGGATTCAGGATTCTGAAGTCGCACACTACAGGGGCGGTTCTGATGGAGTAGAGCCCCCTCTACAGGCTTTGTTGAGGAAGTGAAATTCTGAAGAGGCCCAATAGACGCGAAGACAGAACATCGCACCCTGCAGAGAGCCAATAGAAAACGACGTGCATCTCATCCAATCATTTCACCCCTCCCCTCCCCCAGCATACAAGGGGGACCCTCCTCTGTACTGTATATGTCGCAGTGATGTCGTTCTCTCGTATCTCAGGATCCAGTGTTGGGGGGGGGGGCGGGATATATCGGGGGGCACACATTCCTCTCATCAGGATCTGTCCGACTCGTTGCAGGGGTGAAAGGTCAGAGTTCGTGGTGGTCGGGGCCCCTGGTCAGCTCCCGGTACTCCTTCCTCCGGCGGACCTTGTATGTGAGGAGCCGGGAGTACTGCGTGAGGAGGGAGCGCCAGAACCGCGACACGTCCTCCATCCGCAGGTGGTCCCCGATAAACCGCTCACCCCTAAAAGACACAAGAGGGGGACCGGGTGAGGGGGGGACGGAAGTCGTATGTACTGACCCCCCCCACGCTGTCCCTTATGGACCCCACAGAGAGGATGGACCCGTCCCCGCTGCCCCCAGGGAGGACTTACCCACCCCCGCTACCCCTCAAGGACCCCAGAGAGGACTGAACCCACCCCCGCTGCCCTTCAGGGACCCCAGAGAGGACTGACCCACCCCCGCTGCCCCTCAGGGACCCCAGAGAGAAGACTGACCCACCCCCGCTGCCCCTCAGGGACCCCAGAGAGGACTGACCCACCCCCGCTGCCCCTCAGGGACCCCAGAGAAGACTGACCCACCCCCGCTGCCCCTCATGGACCCCAGGGAGGACTGACCCACCCCCGCTGCCCTCATGGACCCCAGAGAGGACTGACCGACACCCGCTGCCCCTCATGGACCCCAGGGAGGACTGACCCACCCCCGCTGCCCCTCATGGACCCCAGAGAGGACTGACCGACACCCGCTGCCCCTCATGGACCCCAGAGAAGACTGACCCACCTCCGGTACCCCTCAAGGACCCCAGAGAGGACTGAACCCACCCCCGCTGCCCCTCAAGGACCCCAGAGAGGACTGAACCCACCCCCGCTGCCCCTCGGGGACCCCAGAGAAGACTGACCGACACCCGCTACCCCTCAGGGACCACACAGAGAGGATTGACCTGTCCCCGCTGCCCCCAGAGAGGACTGAACCCACCCGCCCCCGCTGCCCCTCAGGAACCCCAGAGAGGACTGACCCACCCCCGCTGCCCCTCATGGACCCCAGGGAGGACTGACCCACCCCCCGCTGCCCCCAAGGACCCCAGGGAGGACTGACCCACCCCCCCCGCTGCCCCTCAGGACCCCAGAGAGGACTGAACCCACCCACACCCGCTGCCCCTCATGGACCCCAGAGAGGACTGACCCACCCCCGCTGCCCCTCAAGGACCCCAGGGAGGACTGACCCACCCCCGCTGCCCCTCAAGGACCCCAGGGAGGACTGAACCCACCCCCCCCGCTGCCCCTCAAGGACCCCAGAGAGGACTGAACCCACCCACCCCCGCTGCCCCTCAGGGACCCCAGAGAGGACTGAACCCACCCACCCCCGCTGCCCCTCAGGGACCCCAGAGAGACTGACCCCCCACCCCGCTGCCCCTCAGGGACCCCAGAGAGGACTGACCCACCCACCCCCGCTGCCCCTCAGGGACCCCAGAGAGGACTGACCCACCCACCCCCGCTGCCCCTCAGGGACCCCAGGGAGGACTGACCCACCCCCGCTGCCCCTCAGGGACCCCAGGGAGGACTGACCCACCCCCGCTGCCCCTCAGGGACCCCAGAGAGGACTGACCCACCCCCGCTACCCCTCAAGGACCCCAGAGAGGACTGACCCACCCCCGCTGCCCCTCAGGGACCCCAGAGAGGACTGACCCACCCCCGCTGCCCCTCAGGACCCCAGGGAGGACTGACCCACCCCCCGCTGCCACTCAGGGACCCCAGAGAGGACTGAGCCCCCCCCGCTGCCCCTCAGGGACCCCAGAGAAGACTGACCCACCCCCGCTGCCCCTCATGGACCCCAGGGAGGACTGACCCACCCCCCCCCGCTGCCCCTCAGGGACCCCAGAGAAGACTGACCGACACCCGCTACCCCTCAGGGACCACACAGAGAGGATTGACCTGTCCCCGCTGCCCCCAGAGAGGACTGAACCCACCCGCCCCCGCTGCCCCTCATGGACCCCAGAGAGGACTGAGCCGCCCCCGCTGCCCCTCATGGACCCCAGAGAGGACTGAGCCGCCCCCGCTGCCCACAGGGAACCCAGAGAGGACTGACCCACCCGCCCCTAAGGAACCCCAGAGAGAGCAAAGCCACTTACTACCCCCGTAACCCCAGGCCCTTCTCATATATCATCAGACATGGGCGGAGCTCAAGAGCCAGTCACTCCCCACTGCCCCCCCCCGGGAACACTGTCACTCCCCACTGCCCCCCAAATCCCCACAAAACGGGGGACAGCAGCAACAATGGGGGGGCCGAGCCCCATACCTCTGTGCAATCTTCTGTACTTCATCATCGTTTTCCTTCACAAACTGCAGGAGCTCCCTGGAGGAACAAGAGAGACCGTGACTGGAGGAGGGGAGCCAGCAGAGACATACAAAGTGTGCGGGAGACAGAAGATGATTGGTCAGGGTTAGGGTGAGGATGCCCCCCTAGGTCAGGGGAGAAGGGAGGATCCCCCCAAGGTCAGGGGAGGATCCCCCAAGGTCAGGGTGAGGATGCCCCCCTAGGTCAGGGGGAGGGAGGATCCCCCCCCCCCCAAGGTCAGGGGGAGGAGGGAGGATGCCCCCCTAGGTCAGGGTGAGGATGCCCCCTCCAGGGCAGGGGCGGAGGGAGGATCCCCCCAAGGTCAGGGGGAGAAGGGAGGAGGGAGGATCCCCCCAAGGTCAGGGGGAGAAGGGAGGAGGGAGGATGCCCCCCTAGGTCAGGGTGAGGATGCCCCCCCCAGGTCAGGGTGAGGATGCCCCCCCCAGGTCAGGGTGAGGATGCCCCCCCCAGGTCAGGGTGAGGATGCCCCCCCCAGGTCAGGGTGAGGATGCCCCCCCCAGGTCAGGGTGAGGATGCCCCCCTAGGTCAGGGTGAGGATGCCCCCCCTAGGTCAGGGTGAGGATGCCCCCCCTAGGTCAGGGTGAGGATGCCCTCCCTAGGTCAGGGGGAGGAGGGAAGATGCCCCCCCTAGGTCAGGGGGAGGATCCCCCCAAGGTCAGGGGGAGGAGGGAGGATGCCCCCCAAGGTCAGGAGGGGGAGGGAGGATGCCACCCCTAGGTCAGGGTGAGGATGCCCCCTCCAGGGCAGGGGCGGAGGGAGGATCCCCCCAAGGTCAGGGGGAGAAGGGAGGATGCCCCCCTAGGTCAGGGGGAGGATGCCCCCCTAGGTCGGGGGGAGGATCCCCCCAAGGTCAGGGGGAGAAGGGAGGATGCCCCCCCAGGTCAGGGTGAGGATGCCCCCCAAGGTCAGGGGGAGAAGGGAGGATGCCCCCCTAGGTCAGGGTGAGGATGCCCCCCCTAGGTCAGGGTGAGGATGCCCCCCCTAGGTCAGGGTGAGGATGCCCCCCCTAGGTCAGGGTGAGGATGCCCCCCCTAGGTCAGGGTGAGGATGCCCCCCCTAGGTCAGGGTGAGGATGCCCCCCCTAGGTCAGGGTGAGGATGCCCCCCTAGGTCAGGGTGAGGATGCCCCCCCCAGGTCAGGGTGAGGATGCCCCCCCTAGGTCAGGGTGAGGATGCCCCCCAGGTCAGTGGATGGGACACTCCTACCTCAGCTCGGTCAGGTCCTGGCTGACGGGGACGTAGTGCACCCACGGCTCCAGGCGATGGTAGAAGAATTCCTGCCAGGAGTCACCAACATGGAACACCAGAGAGCCGCACAGGAAGAGATGCTTCAGCCGGAAACTGGCCGCCACACCACGGAAATTAAATAAATACCTGCCGGGGGAAGAGACATTGGTTCCAGATACAAATGGAGGGGCCACAGGGGAGGGGACAGGGGAGGAGCCACGGGGGGAGACTGGGGAGGAGCCACAGGGGGAGACTGGGGAGGAGCCACAGGGGGAGACTGGGGAGGAGCCACAGGGGGAGACTGGGGAGGAGCCACAGGGGGAGACTGGGGAGGAGCCACAGGGGGAGACTGGGGAGGAGCCACAGGGGAAGGGGACAGAGGAGCCACAGGGGAAGGGGACAGAGGAGCCACAGGGGAAGGGGACAGAGGAGGAGCAACGGGGAAGGGGACAGGGGAGGAGCCACAGGGGGGAAATGGAGAGGAGCCATGGAGGGAGACAGGGGAGGAGCCACAGGTGGGGAGACAGGGGAGGGAGCCACAGGGGGCAAAAAGATGGGGGGTGGGGGGAGTGGTCACAATGAAATGGGGGGAGTGGTTGCAGGTGACAAGAAGATTTGGGAGGGGGGAGTGGTCAGAGGTCACCAGGAGATGGGGGGAGTGGTCAGAGGTCATCAGGAGATGGGGGGAGTGGTCAGAGGTCACCAGGAGATGGGGGGAGTGGTTAGAGGTCACCAGGAGATGGGGGGAGTGGTCAGAGGTCACCAGGAGATGGGGGAGTGGTCAGAGGTCACAAGGAGATAAGGGGAGTGGCCAGAGGTCACAAAGAGACACAAGGAGGGGCCCCAAGTAAACAATAATGTGAAAGGTGCGGAGCTTCAGGTGGTAACTGGGAAAAGAGAGGAGGGAGGGGGAGGGGACACTATAAAGTGGGGGTGGGGTTTTAAGTGCGATAGAGACAGTCTAGGCTGTAGGACAGGAGGAGAAGGAATCCTAGGTGAGAAGGGAGGGGCACCAGTGAAGGAGGTGGAGCCAAAGTCTAAACAGAGAACAGGCACTGGGATCCGCCCCATGGACAGGGAGCACCGGACAGTGAGTAATGGCTGGTTACCGTAAGGAAGGTGGGAAGACGGAAAGAGATGGAGCAGGTATGTAGAAGAGACAGAAGGCGGCCATACTTAAACGCACAGTGGTCCACTAATGGCACCTCCTTGGCTGGCGGTCTGCCCAGGGTGTCCTGAGGAGGAGAACGATGGAAGTTGAACATTTCATGACACAACGATGGGAGATAACATTCCTAATGATCCTATTCCTCCTCTTTACCTTCTCCGACCTCCAGGCCTGGTTCTTGGTGTATTCGGCATCCACCAGATCTGGGTTTTCCCGGGAGCAGCAGGATAAGGGGGTCCCGCTCAGGGCTGGTCCTGTGTCATGGAGAAGAAAGAAGAGGTCATTGAGGTCAGGGTTCCACCAGAAAACAGTTTTAAACATCGGACACGTCTAATGTTCCTTCATGTCCCCTAAGGGTTCTGTACTCACCATAAAACTGGAGTCCAATGGGGGACACAGGAAGTCCTGTACTGTCGGGTTATACTACCACCTACAGGAAGATCGGACACTGGCACACAATACATTTGTTAGCCAGGACAACCCGTCCTATACCCAGCAGCCCTGCCTGTAATGACCTGTACCATAGTCATGAACACAGAGGAGGTGGGTCCTGTGTCCTTCAATGGCCTCCAAGAGAAGCATTTTATGGTGGTTACAAAAATCCTTTTTACTTTCTCTTCCATTGACAGGCCCAGGAAGTCATATACTGATGGGACATCCAAAAAAGCAGTCCACGTGAGGGGTGAGCAACAGCACACAAAATGCTAACAGTCCCACAACAAAACCGGGGACTGACTGCAGCTCTAACAGCCGTCTGAAGGACCAAACACCCAACTCCAGCATCATGAAGCCTAAACATCCACCTGGTAGAACTCGGAGAATGTGTGACAGCCTTGCAAATCTGAGAACATTAGCCTGAGGCCAAAGAGCTCAAGAGGCTCTGACAGACCTAGTGAGAACCATCACAGAGAGGGTTAGAACCCAATCCTGGAGATCTTAAGCTCGAATGATGGTCTGTCTGAGCCACCAAGAAATGGTGGAGCTGGTTCACCTTACAGATCTAGTTGAAAGCACCTTGACTGGGAAGGGTAGAACCCAATCATTGAGATCTTAAAAGTGAATGATGGTCTATTTGAACCACCAAGAAATGGTGGAATAAGAAGCTGGTCCACCTTTACAGATCTAGTGGACAACACCTTGATGAAGAAGGATAGAACCAAATGCTTGAGACCTTAAGCATGAATGATGGTCTATCTGAGCCACTGAGGAATGGTGGAATAAGAAGCTGGTCCACCTTTACAGATCTAGTGGCCAGCACCTTGATGAAGAAGGATAGAACCAAATGCTTGAGACCTTAAAGCTTGAATGATGGTCTATCTGAGCCACTGAGGAATGGTGGAACAAGCAGCTGGTCCGCCCTTACAGATCTAGTGGACAACACCTTGACAGGGAAGAGTAGAACCCAATCCTTGAGATCTTAAAGCTTGAATGATGGTCTGTCTGAGCCACCAAGAAATGGTGGAGCTGGTTCACCTTACAGATCTAGTTGAAAGCACCTTGACTGGGAAGGGTAGAACCCAATCATTGAGATCTTAAAAGTGAATGATGGTCTATTTGAACCACCAAAAAAATGGTGGAATAAGAAGCTGGTCCACCTTTACAGATCTAGTGGACAACACCTTGATGAAGAAGGATAGAACCCAATCCTTGAGACCTTAAAGCTTGAATGATGGTCTATCTGAGCCACTGAGGAATGGTGGAACAAGCAGCTGGTCCGCCCTTACAGATCTAGTGGACAACACCTTGACAGGGAAGGGTAGAACCCAATCCTTGAGATCTTAACCATTAGCCGCCCGGCCAATGGCCGTTTGGCGGCTTCAAAAGTGCTTCTGCACTCCGGGTGCACGCCATTTGGCGTGCTCCCGCACATGCGCAGTTTGCGCTAATGCAGAGCGACGCAGCAGCGCGATCTGTCACCGGCCGTGCACCTCGGACACGGCCGATGACAGATCTGAGTACCGGCCCCCGTTGCCGGTACCATGTGACCTGCTGTGACCAATCACAGCAGGTCACATGACAGTTGTATACAATGGATGACTTCATTCATGCCATCCATTGTATACTAATGCCTAGCTGTGAATGGTCACAGTGATCACATGCACATGTCATGTGATTAGCCGTGACCAAATCACAGCTAAGCACAAAAAAAAAAAAAACCTGAATGAATCGATTTCATTGAGGTAAATGCTTGCTGAGAGGAAAGTAATTCTTTGCTATAAGCAAATTGTGTAAAAAAAAAAAAAAAAAAATACTGATCACTTCCCCAAAGTAGTACAATGTTACTATGGTAACATTGTACTACTTTGGTCATAGTAAAATATGAAAAAAAAAAATCTTTAAAAAAAAAAAAAATATATATATAAAAAAAAAAATAATGATATATATATTTTTTTTCATACTGTCACCAGTCAGTGTCCCTGATCACCGCCATGCCAGTTATATGATGACGCTGTACTGCGCTGGTGACAGGATGGAAAAACAATAGTGAAAATATTTTTTTAATTTTTTTCATTTTCCGAAAAATTATGACAAAATAAAATACAACTTCAAAAAACTCGCCATTCCTCTTATGAAGTACATCGGACTGTCTACTCTGCAAAAAAAAAAAATACATTTGGGGATATTTGTACTGTCCTGACATTTGGGGGATATCTGTACTGTCCTGACATTTGGGGGATATCTGTACCGTCCTGACATTTGGGGGGTCTCTGTACTGTTCTGACATTTGGGGGATATCTGTACTGTCCTGACATTTGGGGGATATCTGTACTGTCCTGACATTTGGGGGGTCTCTGTACTGTTCTGACATTTGGGGGATATCTGTACCGTCCTGACATTTGGGGGATATCTGTACTGTTCTGACATTTGGGGGATATCTGTACCGTCCTGACATTTGGGGGATATCTGTACCGTCCTGACATTTGGGGGATATCTGTACCGTCCTGACATTTGGGGGATATCTGTACCGTCCTGACATTTGGGGGTCTCTGTACCGTTCTGACATTTGGGGGATATCTGTACCGTCCTGACATTTGGGGGATATCTGTACCGTCCTGACATTTGGGGGATATCTGTACCATCCTGACATTTGGGGGGTCTCTGTACTGTTCTGACATTTGGGGGGATATCTGTACTGTCCGACATTTGGGGGGATATCTGTACCGTCCTGACATTTGGGGGATATCTGTACCGTCCTGACATTTGGGGGGATATCTGTACCGTCCTGACATTTGGGGGATATCTGTACCGTCCTGACATTTGGGGGATATCTGTACTGTCCTGCAATTTGGGGGGATATCTGTACTGTCCTGACATTTGGGGGGATATCTGTACTGTCCTGACATTTGGGGGATATCTGTACCGTCCTGACATTTGGGGGATATCTGTACCTTCCTGACATGGGGGGGGGGATATCTGTACCTTCCTGACATGGGGGGGGGGGATATCTGTACCTTCCTGACATGGGGGGGGGATATCTGTACCGTCCTGACATTTGGGGGATATCTGTACCGTCCTGACATTTGGGGGGTCTCTGTACTGTTCTGACATTTGGGGGATATCTGTACCGTCCTGACATTTGGGGGGATATCTGTACCGTCCTGACATTTGGGGGATATCTGTACCGTCCTGACATTTGGGGGGATCTGTACTGTCCTGACATTTGGGGGATATCTGTACTGTCCTGACATTTGGGGGATATCTGTACTGTCCTGACATTTGGGGGATATCTGTACCGTCCTGACATTTGGGGGATATCTGTACCGTCCTGACATTTGGGGGATATCTGTACCGTCCTGACATTTGGGGGATATCTGTACCGTCCTGACATTTGGGGGATATCTGTACCGTCCTGACATTTGGGGGATATCTGTACCGTCCTGACATTTGGGGGATATCTGTACCGTCCTGACATTTGGGGGATATCTGTACCGTCCTGACATTTGGGGGATATCTGTACTGTCCTGACATTTGGGGGATATCTGTACTGTCCTGACATTTGGGGGATATCTGTACTGTCCTGACATTTGGGGGATATCTGTACTGTCCTGACATTTGGGGGATATCTGTACTGTCCTGACATTTGGGGGATATCTGTACTGTCCTGACATTTGGGGGATATCTGTACTATCCTGACATTTGGGGGATATCTGTACCGTCCTGACATTTGGGGGATATCTGTACTGTCCTGACATTTGGGGGATATCTGTACTATTCTGACATTCTTGGACCTCAAGAAATTAGATTGGCTGTCAGTACTTCAGGATTGATCAATACTCAGATCTATACCATAGTTTGTGAACTCTATAAACTTCCCTACAGATAAATAATACATCCTAATTTGGGTTATTTTCACCAAAGACATGGAGCAGAATACATCTCGGCCTAAATTTATGAAGAACAATTATTTATTTGTAAACTTTTATAACAGAAACAAAGAAAAACGTGTTTTTTTTTCAAAATTTTGGTCTTTTTTGTTAATTTAGCAAAAAATAAAAACCCCAGCGGCGATTAAATACCACCAAAAGAAAGCTCTAGTTGTGTGAAGAAAATGATAAAATTTTAGTTTGGGTACAGTGTTGTATGACCGCGCAATTGTCATTCAACGTGTGAGAGCGCTGAAACCTGAAAAATGGCCTGGGGGGGGGGGGGGGGGGGGGGGGGGGGGTAAAAGTGCCCGGTATTCAAATGGTTAAGCATGAATGATGGTCTGAGTCACTAAGGACTGGTGGAACTAGAAGCTGGTCCATCCTTACACATCTAGTGGACAACCCCTGACAGGGAAAGGGTAGAACCCAATCCTTGAGATCTTAAGCTCCAATGATGGTCTGTCTGAGTCACTGAGCAATGGTGGAACTAGAAGCTGGTTAACTCTCATGAGGTTCATCACAAATGACAAAGAGAGTCATTCTTTCTGAAGGAAGAAGTAGCTGGGAGTTAAACCACCACAGCACAAGCTACATCCTGGCAATAGAGGGAGATCTCCTTGTGAGGAACTGGGATGATGGGACGTCAAACGGAGGGAAAGGCGAAAACTACCTTGAGAAGGAAGGACGTTCTAGGCCTCAACACCACCTTGTCTGTTTGCAAGGCCAGAAAGAGTTCATTACAGAACAAGGCTGCCAGCCAAGAAACTTACCTTGCAGAGGTGATGGCAATCAGGGGTGAACCTTGTGCATCAGATTGGAAAGGGGAATGTCCCTTTCCTGGGTTCAAAAGGCGATTTGTCAAAGCGCGGAGAGAGCTGAACTCCTATCCCACAGAAGCAAACAGTGGAAGCAATTCTACTCAAAGGTCTTGATCAGGGAATGGGAGGTCAGAAGAAGATTGTGAATGCACAGGCCTGACCCTTGATGGTGCCAAGGGCCAAATGCAGATCACACCCATATGAAAAAAATGGAAGGATTCGTCCTACAGAGAATTTCCTGATAAAAATCTCTTTGCCTCGCACCAAGCAAAGTATGCCTTCCAGAAGCCTAGGTTTTCGCATCGTGGCAATAACCAATTCACGGATGCATCTGTCCCTCAGAATCTGGACTTCAACTGCCATGCCATTAAAGTCAGTGACCTAGGAGCATGGTGGTAAGTTGGTCCTTGAGTCTCATCAGGTTGAAGCACCACTTCTGCCATGAGTCGATCTTGAGGTGGAAGGATGACCAGAATGTCTATTACCTTGAGCCTACGATGCTGATGAGGATGGAGTTTTAGGGCAGGAAAGGCTGTACTGATCCCACAAAGCCACCAGAGTATCCACTGCATCTGCTAGATCAGCCTTTCTCCACCTTGTCAACACAGAAGAACCCACAAAATAACTTTTCGGAACCCCCCCCCTAAAATGTACTATATCTACGACTTACGTAGATACATTAGCGTGATGGTCAGTGCGAAGAATGCTCCTTACATGTGTGGTCATTGTCCACATTCAGTATCCTCCACCTGTACATAGGTCCTGGAGCAGTTCCTGGTCTAGGTTCTTCCAGCTGAAGACTTCTACCTGCCTAATGTTTACACCTGGACAAGGTGGGAACATGAAGTTCTGCCCGGGACAGGATCTGTTCTACCTCTCTTGTTGCAGTACGACTTCTGGTTCCTCCCTGATGGTTAATGTATGCTACCGTCATGGGTTGTCCACCTTACCTGTATCGGATGACCTTCCAAGCTGGATGGCTTCACGCTGTAGAGACAGTAAAGTCACCAGACGTTCCATGACGTTGGTCACAGGACAAGACTCCTCCAATGACCAAGTCTCCTGCACTGATAGGGTTCCCAAAAGCCTGGCATACGTGGTGAGGATATTTCCCAAGATGGGAACAAGGACTTTCTGATTCCAGAGCCACCATGGCAAGGATAGCCTGGTCCTTGGTACCAAATGAATCGGTTTTTCAGCAACTTGTCCCATGAAGAGAGAATGTAGCAGATTATAGATCTGTAAAGAAACTGGGCAAAGGAGACAAACTGCCACAGAGAAAGCGACCTTCAGGCCCAAAACTCTCATGCGTAAGAAGAGTGTCAGACAACTCCGGGACTTGACAACTCGAACCTAGAACTGGAGAACTCGAAGTTTCTCCTGTGGTAGAAAGACTCTGGCCTGAGCGGATTCTAGAGCTAGACCCAGATACTTCAAACGATGAGATAGTCCACTCACGATCGTTCTAAAGACAGACATCGTTCAACAGAGCTCATGCCGAATGCTCCCCTTTAACAGGAGATCATCTAAGTGTCCCATAATGGGGAGGCCACCAGGCTGCTGTAGAGTTAGTACTTGGGTCTCCACCTTGGTGGTACCCCGAAGGTGCAGAGGAGAGGCCGAACGGATAGGGCCATGAATTGGTAATTCAGGGGCCCCACAACAAAGCGAAGGAAATGCTGTTGCGATGGAAAAATGGGGACATGCAGGTAGGCATCCTAAATGTCCACAAAAGCCAAAAAGTACTCTTGGTGAAGGAGAATTGTGACAGATCTGGTGGATTCCATCAACTCGAAGAGTCACATTCAGGGCTTTGAGGTCCATGATGGGGCAGATGCTCCCTTTGTGCTTGGGAAGAGGTTGGAGTAAAATCTTTGATACCTCTTTGCCCCAGGAGCTGAGAAATGCCGATGTGGTCCAGAGGACCCGAGGGAGCATGATGGAGAACACGGAGACAGGAGGTGAGAAATGCCGATGTGGTCCAGAGGACCCGAGGGAGCATGATGGAGAACACGGAGACAGGAGCTGAGAAATGCCGATGTGGTCCAGAGGACCCGAGGGAGCATGATGGAGAACACGGAGACAGGAGCTGAGAAATGCCGATGTGGTCCAGAGGACCCGAGGGAGCATGATGGAGAACACGGAGACAGGAGCTGAGAAATGCCGATGTGGTCCAGAGGACCCAAGGGAGCATGATGGAGAACACGGAGACAGGAGCTGAGAAATGCCGATGTGGTCCAGAGGACCCGAGGGAGCATGATGGAGAACACGGAGACAGGAGCTGAGAAATGCCGATGTGGTCCAGAGGACCCGAGGGAGCATGATGGAGAACACGGAGACAGGAGCTGAGAAATGCCGATGTGGTCCAGAGGACCCGAGGGAGCATGATGGAGAACACGGAGACAGGAGGTGAGAAATGCCGATGTGGTCCAGAGGACCCGAGGGAGCATGATGGAGAACACGGAGACAGGAGCTGAGAAATGCCGATGTGGTCCAGAGGACCCGAGGGAGCATGATGGAGAACACGGAGACAGGAGGTGAGAAATGCCGATGTGGTCCAGAGGACCCGAGGGAGCATGATGGAGAACACGGAGACAGGAGCTGAGAAATGCCGATGTGGTCCAGAGGACCCGAGGGAGCATGATGGAGAACACGGAGACAGGAGCTGAGAAATGCCGATGTGGTCCAGAGGACCCGAGGGAGCATGATGGAGAACACGGAGACAGGAGCTGAGAAATGCCGATGTGGTCCAGAGGACCCGAGGGAGCATGATGGAGAACACGGAGACAGGAGCTGAGAAATGCCGATGTGGTCCAGAGGACCCGAGGGAGCATGATGGAGAACACGGAGACAGGAGCTGAGAAATGCCGATGTGGTCCAGAGGACCCGAGGGAGTATGATGGAGAACACGGAGACAGGAGCTGAGAAAATGCCGATGTGGTCCAGAGGACCCGAGGGAGCATGATGGAGAACACGGAGACAGGAGGTGAGAAACTGAGGAGGGGGCAGGGAGCCAAACTCAGCATGTACCCCGAAATACCACCTTCTGCATCCAAGCATTCCACATACAAGCTGGCCAAACATTATTTGGGGGGGGTAGTTGTACCGTCCTGACATTTGGGGGGGGGGGGGGGGGGGGGGTAGTTGTAGCATCCTGACATTTGGGGGTATTTGTACTGTCCTGACATTTGGGGGGGGGGGGGGTAGTTGTAGCATCCTGACATTTGGGGGGGGGTACTTGTAGCATCCTGACATTTGGGGGGGGATTTGTACCGTCCTGACATTTGGGGGGATTTTGTACCGTCCTGACATTTGGGGGGGATTTGTACCGTCCTGACATTTGGGGGGGGGGTTGTTGTAGCATCCTGACATTTGGGGGGGGGGTGGGTACTTGTAGCATCCTGACATTTGGGGGGGGGGGTACTTGTAGCATCCTGACATTTGGGGGGGGGGTACTTGTAGCATCCTGACATTTGGGGGGGGGGGGGGGTACTTGTAGCATCCTGACATTGGGGGGGGGGGGGGGACATTGGGGGGGGGGGGTACCATCCTGACATTTGGGGGGGGGGGGGGTAGTTGTAGCATCCTGACATTTGGGGGGGGGGGGGTACTTGTAGCATCCTGACATTGGGGGGGGGGGGGATTTGTACCGTCCTGACATTTGGGGGGATTTGTACCGTCCTGACATTTGGGGGGGGGGGTGGGGGTACTTGTAGCATCCTGACATTGGGGGGGGGGATTTGTACCGTCCTGACATTTGGGGGGGGGGGTAGCATCCTGACATTTGGGGGGGGACATTTGGGGGGGTAGTTGTAGCATCCTGACATTGGGGGGGGGATTTGTACCGTCCTGACATTTGGGGGGGGGGGGTAGTTGTAGCATCCTGACATTTGGGGGGGATTTGTACCGTCCTGACATTTGGGGGGGATTTGTACCGTCCTGACATTTGGGGGGGATTTGTACCGTCCTGACATTTGGGGGGAGGATTTGTACCGTCCTGACATTTGGGGGGATTTGTAGCATCCTGACATTTGGGGGGGGGTAGTTGTAGCATCCTGACATTGGGGGGGGGGGGGGGTAGTTGTACCGTCCTGACATTTGGGGGGGGGGGGTAGTTGTACCGTCCTGACATTTGGGGGGGGATTTGTACCGTCCTGACATTTGGGGGGGGATTTGTACCGTCCTGACATTTGGGGGGGGGGTAGTAGTTGTAGCATCCTGACATTTGGGGGGGGGGGGGGGGGGGTTGCTGGAGCTGTGCATGGAGAGCCACACCCTCCCGTTTCGGTAGACGCCCCTCAATGGCTCCAGCGATGATGCCGAGAAGAAACTTCATTGAAGTGAAAATTGAAAAAGAAAGGACGATGCAACAAAATGTCGACCTGAAGAAAAGCCGTCCGTTCTCCTTGGGGCCTCCAAACTGTGGCCCTCCAGGTGCTGAGGACCTGCAAGTCCCCTGAGGCCTCGCATGACTCCAACAGCCACAGGCAGGACTCCCCGATGCATGATGGGACTTGTAGTACTTCAACAGCTGGAGGGCCGTAGTTTGGAGACCCATGCAGAGCTGAGGCATGCTGGGAGGAGTAGGAGGGGTTTATAGAGGGGCTGGCCTCCAGGTTGTCCTCTCTGCTTGCAGGAGGCGGTATAACCCGAAGGTGAAGGACTTCCTGTGTCCCCCAATGACTGTGAAGGACCACCGACAACCTTCAGGGCTCTGGCCGTCCAATCACTTACCTGGAGCCTCGGAAATATGCTTTGTGGATCTTCTTCTCCCACGGCCAACGCCTGGCTGACCTAACCAACAACAAATTAGAAGAGTTACCGCCCACATCCATCCGGGGACCCCCCACATCCATCCGGGACCCCCCACATCCACACCCGGGACCCCCCCACATCCATCCGGGACCCCCCACATCCATCCTAGACCTCCTACATCCATCCGGGGACCCCCCACATCCATCCTAGACCTCCTACATCCATCTGGGACCCCCCCACATGCATCCGGGACCCCCCCACATCCACCCGGGGACCCCAACATCCATCCTAGACCTCCTATATCCATCCGGGACCCCCCACATCCACCCGGGGACCCCAACATCCATCCTAGACCTCCTACATCCATCCGGGACCCCCCACATGCATCCGGGACCCCCCACATCCACCCGGGGACCCCAACATCCATCCTAGACCTCCTACATCCATCTGGGACCCCCCACCACATGCATCCGGGACCCCCCACATCCACCCGGGGACCCCAACATCCATCCTAGACCTCCTACATCCATCTGGGACCCCCCCACATGCATCCAGGACCCCCCACATCCCCCCACATCCACCCGGGGACCCCAACATCCATCCTAGACCTCCTACATCCATCTGGGACCCCCCCACATGCATCCGGGACCCCCCACATCCACCCGGGGACCCCAACATCCATCCTAGACCTCCTACATCCTACCCCCCACATCCATCCTACATCCATCCGGGACCCCCCACATCCACCCGGGGACCCCAACATCCATCCTAGACCTCCTACATCCATCCGGGACCCCCCACATCCACCCGGGGAACATCCCCTACATCCATCCCTGGGACCCCCCACATCCACCCGGGGACCCCAACATCCATCCTAGACCTCCTACATCCATCCGGGACCCCCCCCCATCCACCCGGGGGTACCCCAACAACATCCCATCCTAGACCTCCCACATCATCCATCCGGGACCCCCCATCCATCCACCCGGGGGACCCCAACATCCATCCTGGGACCTCCCCCCACATAGACCCCCCACATCCATACCCAGGGGGACCCCAACATCCATCCTACACCTCCATCCATCCGGGGACCCCCCCACATCCACATCCGGGACCCCAACATCCATCTGGGACCTCCCCACATCCATCTGGGACCCCCCCACATGCATCCGGGACCCCCCCAATCCACCCGGGGACCCCAACATCCATCCGAGGGACCTCCTACATCCATCCGGGACCCCCCACATCCATCCGGGATCCACCCGGGGACCCCAACATCCATCCTAGACCTCCTACATCATCCATCCGGGACCCCCCCACACATCCATCATCCGGGGACCCCAACATCCATCCAGGACCACCACATCCATAGGGACCCCCCACATCCATCCGGGACCCCCCACATCCACCCCGGGACCCCCATCCATCCCTAGACCTCCATCGGGACCCCCCACATCCATCCGGGACCCCCCACATCCATCCCTACATCCACCACCCCCCAACATCCATCCTAGGGACCTCCCCCATCCATCCGGGGACCCCCCACATCCCATACCCGGGACCCCCCATCCTACATCCATCCGGGACCCCCCACATCCACCCGGGGACCCCCCAACATCCATCACCTGGGACCCCCCACATCCACCCGGGGACCCCAACATCCATCCGGGACCTACATCCATCCGGGACCCCCCACATCCACCGGGGGACCCCAACATCCATCCTAGGACCTACATCCATCCGGGACCCCCCCCACATCCACCGGGACCCCACATCCATCCCGGGACCCCCAACATCCACATCCCCCCATCCATCCGGGACCTTCCCCATCCATCCGGGGACCCCAACATCCATCCGGGACCCCACCACCATCCGGGACCCCCGCCCCATCCTAGACCCCGGCGTTCGGTGAGACCCCAACATACATCCACCCGGGGACCCCCATACAAGACCTCTCATCCATCAGGACCGACCCCATCCGGGCCCCCCACATCCATCCCGGGACCCCCCCACCGCGGCCCCCGGGGACCCCAACATACATCTGGGGCCCCGGCATTCACCCGGGACCCCAACATCCATCCTAGACCTACATCCATCCGGGACCCCCCCCCACATCCACCCCCCATCCAGGGACCCCCAACATCAGGAGATCTCCGCGGGCCCCTTACATCCATCAGGGACCCCCCCCCATGCGGCCCCCGGCGTTCGGGACCCCCGGGAACATCCATGCGTTCCTCAGAACTCTGACCCCTCCCCATCCGGACCCCCCCCACATGTTCCGGGACCCCCCCATCCATTCCTGAGGCCCCGGCATCCAGGGAGGACCCCCCCCATCCATCCGGGTTCCACCCACCACTCACCCCTCCGCGGTGCCCCATCCATCAGGAGAGACCCCTCCCCCCCCTGGCGTTCACATCCCCGGGAGAAGACCCCCCCCGCGGGACCCCCTGGCACCAGGGAGACCCCCAACATCCCCCGGGACCCCCCCCACATGCATCCGGGACACCCCCCGCCCGCATCCGAAACACCCCCCAGGAGGGGGAGACCCCCGGGACCTCCCCCATCCATCCGGGAGACCCCCACATCCACCCTGGGGCCGACCCCAGGGTTCGGGAGAGACCCCCGCCCCGCGGCCCTGGCGTTCGGGAGAGACCCCCCCGAGGCCCCGGCGTTCAGGAGACCCCCCCCCAAGGCCCCGGCGTTCAGGAGAGACCCCCCCCGAGGCCCGGCGTTCAGGAGAGACCCCGCCCCGCGGCCCCGGCGTTCAGGAGAGAGACCCCCCCCCCGCCCCCCGCCCCGGCGTTTCAGGAGAGACCCCCCCCCGCGGGCCCCGGCGTTCAGGAGAGACCCCCCCCGAGGCCCCGGCGTTCAGGACAGCACACTCATCACTCACCGCTGCAGGTCCTCCCTCATCAGGTCCCAGCGTCCAGGCCCGTGGGGTAGAGAGGGCCACACAGCAGGGCCCCCTTCCCCAGAAGGTCCAGGCGGGGGGGGTACATGATGTCCCGATAATCTGAAGTCTTGCAGAAAGAGAAGGAAACGTCACATATGTACTGCGCTCCGGTATATGTCACCTCCACACAGAGAACACAGGAGGACAACTCCCATCATATAGGGGCCCATAAACCAATCAGGAGCCAGGACCATGTAATGGGGAGGGGCCCACAACTGCATGCAAGTGTTACGGCTGTCATGTCTGCCCCTCCCCCATGTCCATGACCCCACCCCCCGACCATCAGGAGCTCCCCTCACCTTACTGAATGAGAAGACGGGAATAACCGGCGTCATCCAATGAGGAACCTGCGGATAATCCCGCACATTGATCACCATCTCCATGTCTGGGAGATCCGGCAGAAGGTCCAGGAGGAAGTGCTCCACCCCGCTACACCTGTACGGGAAACATGGCCGACACACGGGATGAGACACGGGAGGGGGAGGAGCTCCACCCCGCTACACCTGTACGGGAAACATGGCCGACACACGGGATGAGACGCGGGAGGGGGAGGAGCTCCACCCCGCTACACCTGTACGGGAAACATGGCCGACACGGGACGGGGATGGAGCTCCACCCCGACACGGGATGAGACGGGGAGGGGGAGGAGCTCCACCCCGCTACACCTGTACGGGAAACATGGCCGACACACGGGATGAGACACGGGAGGGGGAGGGGAGAGGGAGCTCCACCCCGCGCTACACCTGTACGGGAAACATGGCCGACACACGGGATGAGACGCGGGAGGGGGAGGGGCTCCACCCCGCTACACCTTTACAGGAAACATGGCCGACACACGGGATGAGACACGGGAGGGGGAGGAGCTCCACCCCTCAGACATGGAAGATACATGGGATAAGACACGGGAAGAGGGGGAGGAGCTCCTCTCCTACATGGATGACACATGGGATAAAGACACGGGAGGAGGGGGAGGAGCTCCTCTCCTACATGGATGACACATGGGATTAGACATGGGAAGAGGGGGAGGAGCTCCACCCCCTACACCTGTAAGGAAACCATGGCGGCCACAGAGGATACAATGGATGTTCCGGTGACTCTGATGGGTTCCAGTAGCAGACATGATGGAGATCCCGGGGGGGGGGGGGGATTACACACAATGTATGGGCAGCTCACTGTGACCCCCCACAGGGAGGAGTTTGGGTCCCGGGGGGGGGGGGGGGATTACACACATGTATGGGCAGCTCACTGTGACCCCCCACAGGGAGGAGTTTGGTCCCTGGGGGGGGGGGGGAATAACCGGATTACACACGATGTATGGGCAGCTCACTGTGGACCCCCCCACAGGGAGGAGTTTGGTCCCTGGGGGGGGGGGGGGATTACACACGATGTTTATGGGCAGCTCACTGTGACCCCCCCACAGGGAGGAGTTTGGTCCCTGGGGGGGGGGGGGGGGATTACACACGATGTATGGGCAGCTCACTGTGACCCCCCCACAGGGAGGAGTTTGGTCCCTGGGGGGGGGGATTACACACGATGTATGGGCAGCTCACTGTGACCCCCCCACAGGGAGGAGTTTGGTCCCTTGGGTGACATGGGGGGATTCACACACGATGGGAACATGGCAGCCACTGTGACAGCCCCCATGACAGGGAGTGCGTTTACGTCCCTGGGGGGGGGGGGGGATTACACACATGTATGGGCAGCTCACTGTCCCCCCCCGGAGGGAGGATTTGGTCCCTGGGGGGGGGGGGATTACACACGATGTATGGGAGGCTCACTGTGACCCCCCACAGGGGTGGAGTTTGGTCCCTGGGGGGGGGCGGGGGTGATTACACAGATGTATGGGCAGTCACTGTGACCCCCACACAGGGGGAGTTTGGTCCCTGGGGGGGGGGGGATGACACACGATGTATGGGCAGCTCACTGTGACCCCCCACAGGGAGGAGTTTGGTCCCTGGGGGGGGGGGGGATTACCACCGATGTATGGGCAGCTCACTGTGACCCCCACAGGGAGGAGTTTGGTCCTGGGGGTGGGGTTACACACGATGTTCGATGGGCAGCTCACTGTGACCCCCCACAGGGAGGAGTTTGGTCCCTGGGGGGGGGGGATTACACACGATGTATGGGCAGCTCACTGTGACCCCCCCCCCAGGGAGGAGTTTGGTCCCGGGGGGGTGACAATGGCCTGGGACTCACCGTGCCGGGAACATGCACTCCTCCTCTCGGTACAGCCCACGCTCCATGATCTGGTAGTGCGTCCCCAATTTACGACTGATCACATTTTTCATCAGATCCCGAGAGATCCCGGAGCGGAACGGAGCCAAGTCCTGCCTGGGTGACCCTGGAGGGGGAGGAGTCACATAATACTGGTGGGAGGTACAGCAGGAGGTGGGCGGGATCATACAGGATTGATGGGCAGTACAGGAGGAGGTGGGCGGAGTGGCAGTGTAGGGGGAAGGTGACACTCACCAATCATAGCAGGTGTCATTGTGACCCCAGGGGCGTGGCTCTCCACCCTCTTCTGGATTCGATGGAGATAGGGAAACCAATCAGGATCTAATGGGAGAGAATAGGAAAGATCATACACCCCGCCTCCCTCCAGACCCCACCCACCCCCAGCACGGAGACCCCGCCTCCCCCCAGACCCCACCCACCCCCAGTACGGAGACCCCGCCTCCCTCCAGACCCCACCCACCCCCAGTACGGAGACCCCCCTCCCCCCAGACCCCCACCCACCCCCAGTACGGAGACCCCGCCTCCCTCCAGACCCCACCCACCCCCAGTACGGAGACCCCCGCCTCCCCCCCAGACCCCACCCCCCCCCACCCCAGTCCCCGCCTCCCCCCCCCACAGACCCCACCCACCCCCCAGTACAGAGACCCCGCCTCCCCCCCGACCCCAACCACCCTCCAACCCCCAGTACATAAACCCCCCCACAGTCCCCCCAGACCCCCCCCCCAGTACAGAGACCCCCCTCCCTCCAGACCCCACCCACACCCCCAGTACGGAAACCCCTCCCCCCACAGTCCTCCATTACCCCCCCCCCTAGTACCCCTCCCCCACAGTCCTCCAATACCCCTCCCCCACAGTCCTCCATTACCCCCCCCCCCCCCGTACCCCTCCCCCACAGTCCTCCAATACCCCTCCCCCACAGTCCTCCATTACCCCCCCCCCCACCCCCCTCCCCCACAGTCCTCCAATACCCCCCCCCCCCCCCCCCGTACCCCTCCCCACAGTCCTCCAATACCCCCCCCCCCCGTACCCCCCCCACAGTCCTCCAAATACCCCCGTACCCCCTCCCCCACAGTCCTCCAATATCCCCCCATCCGTACCCCTCCAGCACTTACCTCCCGTCTGCCCCTCCCCCTCAGCGATCAGAGCCCCCCGGGGCCCCCAGAAGGAGCAGAAACAGCAGCGCCATCTCTCCGCCATCCATTGATCGGGTCTGACGTATCCACTCTAACAAATCCAACATGGCGGCGCCCAGAACCCGGAAATGGCTCTCGGGAGTGTGTCCTATCGGAGGAGCGGAGCTCCACTCTAAACAGGAAGCACGTGACCTCCACTCCGACAATTTCTTTTGCGTTCCACACTGGAATGGAGGTCCAGTCTGCAGCCGGGCTCTAGAGAGAGTTCCTCCTTCACCCCACCAAGAAGACGGCGGCGGGAAATGTCACCTAAGGCGGAACCCCACCAAGAAGATGGCGGCGGGAAATGTCACCTAAGGCGGAACCCCACCAAGAAGATGGCGGCGGGAAATGTCACCTAAGGCCGAACCCCACCAAGAAGATGGCGGCGGGAAATGTCACCTAAGGCCGAACCCCACCAAGAAGATGGCGGCGGGAAATGTCACCTAAGGCGGAACCCCACCAAGAAGATGGCGGCGGGAAATGTCACCTAAGGCGGAACCCCACCAAGAAGATGGCGATAAGAAATGTCACCTAAAGGGGAACCCCACCAAGAAGATGGAGGTGGGAAATGTCACCTAAAGGGGAACCCTTCCAAGAAGATGGCGGCAGGAAATGTCACCTAAAGGGGAACCCCTCCAAGAAGATGGCAGCAGGAAATGTCACCTAAAGGGGAACCCCACCAAGAAGATGGCGGCGGGAAATGTCACCTAAGGCGGAACCCCACCAAGAAGATGGCGATAAGAAATGTCACCTAAGGCGGAACCCCACCAAGAAGATGGCGGCGGGAAATGTCACCTAAGGGGGAACCCCACCAAGAAGACGGCGATAAGAAATGTCACCTAAGGCGGAACCCCACCAAGAAGATGGCGGCGGGAAATGTCACCTAAAGGGGAACCCCACCAAGAAGATGGAGGTGGGAAATGTCACCTAAAGGGGAACCCCTCCAAGAAGATGGCAGCAGGAAATGTCACCTAAAGGGGAACCCCACCAAGAAGACGGCGGCGGGAAATGTCACCTAAGGCCGAACCCCACCAAGAAGACGGCGATAAGAAATGTCACCTAAGGCGGAACCCCCACCATGAAGATGGAGGCGGGAAATGTCACCTAAGGGGAACCCCACCAAGAAGATGGCGGCGGGAAATGTCACTTAAAGGGGAACCCCTCCAAGAAGATGGAGGCGGGAAATGTCACCTAAAGGGGAACCCCACCAAGAAGATGGCAGCGGGAAATGTCACCTATGAGATAGAACCCCACCAAGAAGATGGAGGCCGGAGGAGGTCATGTGATCTGCGATGTTCGCGATTCTCCTATCCTTCTCCAATAGTTTCCAGTCACATGGCTGCGATTTGACATCACATGATTTGTGTGCGATTTCTGAAGACTTTACTGCGACTTGTGAAGATTTGCAACGATTTCTTGCGATTTCCATTGTATTCTGTGTCTGTGAAATCGCAATAAACGGCGGGAAAACGTCACGTGAGAACCGCGTCAGAAATCGCAGGTGTTAGGACGCGGACATCCACATTCATTACAGGCGATTTCTGCTGCAATTGTAATTCACAAATCGCACCCGTGTGTGACCGAGTGTCAGGATCCCCCACAAGCCACGCCCACAGCGACTAGCTAACCGAGGTGCACGTGCGGCTGTGGGGTACGAGGAGATAAAGGGGACTGAACTTTATATATATAAAACCGTATATAGGATCAGCCGTGATATCCTTCCTCAGCTGCACTACCTCTGCCCACCACCGGGGGGAGACTCCACTCCAGAGGGCTGACCACACCCGCACTACCTCTGCCCACCACCGGGGGGAGACTCCACTCCAGAGGGCTGACCACACCCCGCACTACCTCTGCCCACCACCGGGGGGGAGACTCCACTCCACTCCAGATGGCTGACCACACACTGCAGATACACAAATCTTACATACAATCTGGTGCACTGATTAGAGTTGAGGAGCAGCTTAGTATAATTACACCCTTCTAGAGTCCCTCCAGCTACCTACAGCTTGAACCCCGGTGTTATCACCCTTCCACTGTCCACACCCCCCCACACCAGACACACCCCTCCCCACACCAGACACACCCCTCCCCACACCCCCACCCCACAGCAGACACACCCCTCCCCCACCCTACCCTCGCACCAGACACACCACAAAAGGTAGCCTGCCACCACCCAACAGTTTATCCGCAGAACGGTCTGCTGGGACAGCCCACACACACAGATCTCCGCCTGGCCGATCTGTTACCTTTTATAATCTGCATACAATCTGCCCACACACAGTGCAATGGCATACAGATTGGCAATGAGCGTTTAAAGGCACTAAAATACAATCTAATCCCTCCAATCTGATCCCTCCAATCTAATCCCTCCAATCCAATCCCTCCAATCTAATCCCTCCAATCCAATCCCTCCAATCTAATCCCTCCAATCCAATCTCTCCAATCTAATCCCTCCAATCTAATCCCTCCAATCCAATCTCTCCAATCCAATCCCTCCAATCTAATCCCTCCAATCTAATCTCTCCAATCTAATCCCTCCAAATCTAATCCCTCCAATCCAATCTCTCTCCAATCTAATCTCTCCAATCACAATCTCTCCAATCCAATCTCTCCAATCTAATCCCTCCAATCTAATCCCTCCAATCTAATCTCTCCAATCCAATCTAATCTCTCCAATCCAATCCCTCCAATCTAATCCCTCCAATCCAATCTCTCCAATCTCATCCCTCCAATCCAATCTCTCCAATCTAATCCCTCCAGAGATATGAGCCCGAGTTTAAATGTTCAGATGTCACTTATTAATGTTAAGATTTAATTTCCCGAAAGTGGGCGGGGCATAAAATATGTACAAAGTATAAAAAGTTACAGAAATACGAGAAGACACACAAATGACTAATTACTATAAAATAAAAAGGGAATAAAATGTTCCCGAGATCTATCCTGCGACTGGAGCCAGTCAGAGAGTCAGCAATCCGTCAGTCAATGGGACGGCTCCATACGGATCACAACGTCCATATCTCAGGTCCTCAATTTATGGGATATGGACGTAGGCGGGACATGAGGTCTCGGCCAATTGACCCTGGGAGGTGTTCCTGTACCCGCCCACAGGATGTTCTGGGTGCTGAAATGCCCAAAGTCAATTGGACCAGGAACGGTTTGGATCGCTAGGTCAGGGATTGAATTTCCGAAACCAGCGCATCAGTCCAATCGCGACAGTACCAATCACTGTTCAGCTGTCGCAATCAGGCGCCATATAACCATTTTCTGTGTTTCTCTGGGATTCTACAGAGGCCACAAATACAGTTTTACATGCAGATGTGACCCACAGAGTGTCCCATCAGAAGGAAGTATTTTCATCTCTCTGCAACTAATACTTTAGCTTTTATGAGAGATGAAAACATTTCCTTTGATCTGTTGATACACATCAGAGCTCTGGTCTCCTGCTGCTTCCCGAAGCCGAAATGGCTGGAGCTCCTCTTTTAGACTTCAAGAAGGTGGCAAAGTCTGACTACATCGGTGACAACGTTTTTATTGACATCTGGGTGTCACCTCCAGCCTAGAAGCTGCTCTGTCCTTTCAGATCCTGATTGGAGGACGTATGTCTCTGAATACTGAAAACATCTTTAATAACATGGAATGAACCTAAATCTACAATGATATATTTCTACAGATCACGTCTCAGCTACCCAAACCTTACATGTATGTTACACCGGGCACCTATGGAACATAGAGGGGGGAGGAGCCGGCTCCATGCTTCAGTATGAGGGCTCTGTGTACAAAATGGAGGGGACCGGGGTGGGTGGCACTTCACAGCCCCCAACATCACCAGCTCCTGCAATGCCTCACAAGGTGTTAACTATCCTTTCTGAGTCCTAAAATAGGGATTCAGGGGCCCCCACACTAGAAGGGTCCCCGGCAGGAGGAAGGAGGTCCTGATTCCTCTATATAGATCTATCACTAGAGGGGTCACCGGCAGGAGGAAGGAGGTCCTGATTCCTCTATATAGATCTATCACTAGAGGGGTCACCGGCAGGAGGAAGGAGGTCCTGATTCCTCTATATAGATCTATCACTAGAGGGGGTCACCGGCAGGAGGAAGGAGGTCCTGATTCCTCTATATAGATCCTATCACTAGAGGGGTCACCGGCAGGAGGAAGGAGGTCCTGATTCCTCTATATAGATCTATCACTAGAGGGGTCACCGGCAGGAGGAAGGAGGTCCTGATCCCTCTATATAGATCCTATCACTAGAGGGGTCACCGGCAGGAGGAAGGAGGTCCTGATTCCTCTATATAGATCCTATCACTAGAGGGGTCACCGGCAGGAGGAAGGAGGTCCTGATTGCTCTATATAGATCTATCACTAGAGGGGTCACCGGCAGGAGGAAGGAGGTCCTGATTCCTCTATATAGATCCTATCACTAGAGGGGTCACCGGCAGGAGGAAGGAGGTCCTGATTCCTCTATATAGATCCTATCACTAGAGGGGTCACCGGCAGGAGGAAGGAGGTCCTGATTCCTCTATATAGATCCTATCACTAGAGGGGTCACCGGCAGGAGGAAGGAGGTCCTGATTCCTCTATATAGATCTATCACTAGAGGGGTCACCGGCAGGAGGAAGGAGGTCCTGATCCCTCTATATAGATCCTATCACTAGAGGGGTCACCGGCAGGAGGAAGGAGGTCCTGATTCCTCTATATAGATCCTATCACTAGAGGGGTCACCGGCAGGAGGAAGGAGGTCCTGATTCCTCTATATAGATCCTATCACTAGAGGGGTCACAGGCAGGAGGAAGGAGGTCCTGATTCCTCTATATAGATCCTATCACTAGAGGGGTCACCGGCAGGAGGAAGTAGGTCCTGATTCCTCTATATAGATCCTATCACTAGAGGGGTCACCGGCAGGAGGAAGGAGGTCCTGATTCCTCTATATAGATCCTATCACTAGAGGGGTCACCGGCAGGAGGAAGGAGGTCCTGATTCCTCTATATAGATCTATCACTAGAGGGGTC